CGTCTTTCGAACCTTGCTTGTCTAACGAAGCAAAATCGCATAACTGCTAATTAATTATGGTGTTCTAAAAACCTCTAAAAGTTCGCCATGGTTGGAGCTTCGATAGCGATCGGTTACGGTACTGATACGGTCTGAAAATTTTGTAGAAATAATTACAGACGAAGAGAACCTAGCCGACTTGACACCGAAATACTGTTAAGATTGACTAAATGTTAAAATTTACTTAACTATATTTATTATTTATTTATGTACACACATACAACATAAAGGACAACACATACATAAAATTAAAGTACAAAGGTACCACCTATTCCTATTGGAATTTCTTCCTGTGGACCTGGAGCAGGAAAAGTAATAATAATATATTATTAGCTTTCCAAAGGTAAAACTAAACTAAGGGCCAATTCTTCAATCGTCATTTAATTCTTAGCTGTAGAATACCTCTAAAATTGACATTTCACAGTTTTTAGTATGGAAGAATCGTAAAATAATCAAAGTTTGTCCTCCGGATTCTCAATGGGCTAACGTATTGTTCCTCAACATATTTAGATGGCGCAAATGTAGAAAGGGATTTTTGTACAATCACAGCAGCTGTCAAATATTGAACGTCCAATGGTTTGACACTAGCTGATTTCCTATTGGACGATGAACGAGAGGTTCACACTAGCACCACCTAGTGGGCAAAAATACGGTGACATCCAGTTGTTGCTAAAATTAACCTTAAATTAAAATTAGGAATTAATAATCTTATTACTAATGCACAACATTTGAAGGACATCACAGCGTGGGTTGAGTTGAGAACACTAAATCATACATAAGTATAGTATGCATTTTTTTTAAGGGGGGAAAATCATCGAATGACTGCTCCCGCCTGAGTGAGGCGGGTGGGAGTGTCAGACTCTTACTGACTAAAAACCACCCCGTTCTTTCTCCTGCACGTCGAGCCGGTTAACAGTTAGGTTCTCCGCGACTCCGAATCGGCATCGGCCCTATTTGGGCCCCATCTGTGGTGGTCTGATGGCTCTTTGAGGCGCGCGCGGAACGCGACGCGCCGTACGCTCGGGTGTGTTTCTGGTCGGACCCCGGAGCCACCCATGCTCGCCGTCCGCAGGCCCGCGCTTACGGTGGCCGGAGATCGTCTCGCGATCCCCGACGCCCGGTGTGTCCTTCGCGAAAATATAGTATACATACCGATAGATGGATTATTATATCGGAATCCAAATTAATACGCGAAATATTATTCTGTATTTCTAGGTTTTTTAAAAAAAAATCTCAGTACCTAGTAACACGGAGTCTGGAATTGTGCCCGGTGTATGGTAATAGGCTCACCCCCTATTACATGGGACTCATAACATAAATAGTGAAAAGTAGGTGTTACTTCTGTGTGCGCCTCTGCCTACCCCTTCGGGGATAAAAAGCGTGATGTTATGTTGTTTTTATTATTCTGACTGAACATGAAACAAGGCAGGCACTTTCAGTTACAGTTATTACATAAAACGGTTCGATTTCACCTGCAAAGTGTATAATGAATGCAGCGGTATGCGGGCGAATGCATAATAACTGTGAAATCAATATGTCGGCGAAGGAAAAAGTTATGTTATATTTAACCGACTTCAAAAAACAGGACGTTCTTAATTTAACCTGTATGTAGAACAAACTTATCCTAATTTATAAATTATTTGAGATATTATTTTTCTCCTATTTTAAGATTTATTTTATCTTTAACTAGCAAACCCGGCGAACTCCGTTTCGCCACCAGATGGCTTCGTTTTATGTAACATTTCATTTGGTGATTAAAAGATGAAGAAATTTTTTTTTCTTATATATTTTGTAAACCTCACGGAGCCCGAGGCCTTTCCAACGAATGTACCTAAAACCGTGGAAATCGGTTCGTGCGTTCTGAAGTTATAGCGTCAGGAAGGAAAACCCGACCTATTTTTATATAGTAGATCATTTGATTGTTAATTCCTTATTATTTTAATATAGTTAGTTTTAATTTGGGTGTTTGTGGGTGAATCAATTTTGATTCGGTTTTCAGAAAAGTATTTGTTTTAGTATATTAACTGACTTCAGTAAGTTTCGTAATTAACTCGTCGAGTACCGTCATTATAGACACAATTATAGAACAATAGGTTGCGGTCACCGGTGACTGCTTGGTGTCTGACAGTTTAAGCGTGTCTTTGCATTGTTCTTACATATACGTACAGTGTTGGAATATGTATCAGAGATATTGTAGGACATACTTTTTTAAAAAGAGTAACGAATGGAGTTTCTTGCTCGTTCTTTTCCATTCGAATCTACATTTTGGAATGAGCACCTAGCTTCACCTAACTTCACTGATGGACTGAATGACAGACTATTATTTATTTTGTATTTGTTGACGTTTCAATAGTACCAAACTATGGTTTAATTGAAATATATGCTTTGACTTTGACTTTCAAAAAAAGAGTGGCTTGAAGTCAGTATTTAAACGTCGTTAATAAAAGAATGATTAGTAGACAGTGATTGTTAACTTCCAACCTGCCTATCTAGAAGTCATTGGGTAGATTTATGTTCAGCAGTAAACAATTAAAAATCTATACAGATCCCAACAGGGCTGATGCCGATTCGGAGTCGCGGAGAACCTAACGGGTTACCGGCTCGACGCGCAGGAGTAGGAACGGGGTGTTTTTTATTCAGTAAGAGTCTGACACTCCCTCCCGCCTCACCCAGGCGGGAGCAGTCATTCGATGATTTTTCTTCTTAATAAAAATACTGATAAATGAAATTGTCTTTGCTGTTTGTAATATTGAATTAACCGCTTTATACCACATGCATACGATACATAATTATATAAAAATGAAACTTTTTTAAATTTTTGTCAGTCTGTTTGTACTGGCCATTCTCTGAATTGATTGATGTCTAGGTACTCTGTGGCAAAGTTAATTGAAATTTATTTAGCTGTTTACTTAAGCAAAATGATTATAAAGAAGCTAGTCAAACTATATTTTCAAATTTTATTTAAGAATTGCCCCATTAAACGCTAAAAATATTACGTAGTTAAAAAATACAAAGTGATCGATAAGACAAGCTTGGTAGGATCATTAATACGAAAAGAATTTACATTGTGCATAAAAAAAATAATTTCATGCAACATTTTAATAAAAAAAATAATTTCCATAAAGAATCTATGATTCACGTTGAAGATTCCCAACAAAAAGATTAAAACAGCATTTTATCTTCCACTATCACGTCAACTATAAAGGATACAATATTTCCCTAAGTAATATACAAAATAAACCTTATATAGTTAATTTTAAAATCCTATATCCACCCAAGAGTTGCAGAGACCCCGACTTGGTGCTAACGACCTCAAAACCAGCCCATCTTCGCTTATCTTAAGAAAGTCACTTGAATTTCTTGCAAACGAAATAAAACCTTCACCGTAATGTAATATTATAGCAGGCTGTATAATTAAACATCGTGGTCTTGATTTTTTTTTGTTTGTAACGATTCGAATTTTAAATAGGTATGTTGATTTGGCGCGAATTTGCGGAAGTTATTCGGTGTTTTTTTTTTGTTGTTAAAGTGTTGCTTCTCGGACTTTGCGTTTATGTTTTTATGTATTGTCTACCAGTAATAATCATCTTCAATTTTGTTAAAAAATAAGGACACAAGATGAACAAACAATACATTTTGTTTTTGCAGCAAACAACGTGTCTCGTCTGTTTTATTAACATGTTTGTATCACAATTTTAACGTTTACAGCAAATCAATTACTGCGTTTTCGTAGATAATAAGTACGTTTTTACTAAAAACACGTTTCTATAATAAATTACAAAAAATAACCTATCACTCTAAAATCAAACAATCACTCCTAAGCGCCGAGACATCCAAAAAGAAAGTATCAAACATAATAAAGTTAGTAGCAAGCAAGTAATAATACTAATAATAAAAAAAAGAATGTCATAGTTTCTCGACGTGGACGAAATCGGTCAGCGCCGACGCGGGTCGGATTCCGTACGGGACCGAGTTTCGTTCATTCCACTGACCTACTTAAACCACAACGGAACGCAAATACGTCACCTCGCCAAGATAACACATTTCAAATTCTTTGTCCTTGAAAAGATAGCCACGGAACGCATGTTCGTTTATTTTTTTGACAGATCAGGCTGAATGAGGGTGTGCTTTGTGTTTAAAAAAAGTTATTGTTAATGATAGATAAAAAATGTAGTTAGGCTGAATGAAAAAATATCTTTGCATTATCTATTTTTTTTCTAAATGATTAATTTCAACATAATATTAATCAGACGCTTAACGAATGAGTTGGTAATACTTTGTTACTTTTTATTTTTATAATACACTCAAAAAATATTTCGGTATTAAAAGCTCGTTAAACATGAAGAGAATTTATGTCACCAAACAGGCAGCTATAAAATGAAGTATCAACTTAACCGTTAACTTATTATGCACAAAATAATATGCAATGTTTAAATATTTAAATTGAGAATTCCACAACAATTTAAATCCCATTCTAAAAGTAGGTGGAGTCAAAATATTCAATCAGGCTGCATGTTACCTCCTTCGCTATACAAGTGTTGAGATAAAAAGTGATTTATAGTTTTAAAACGCGTTTCCTAGCACAAGTAGTAGTTAGCTACGGTCAAGAAGCTTTCCTTCGATAAACGAGTTGATTTTATTTCTCAAGTACGGACCGCAGTAATAGGAAGAGCAACAACCTATGATTGCAGGGCCGTTATGCCCGATCGTCTCGACTGAGCACTGATAAATATAAAAAACGGCAACTCCTCCAACCATAGAACCTCCTTAATGAGTTCATTCTTAAAAAGTAAAAACGTCATTCGCATTTCGAATTATCATTCCGCCTACGTATAAAAAAATCTAATTAATATTTATGTCGATCGTTCTTGCTGTAAAAGCGCCAAAATTATGGCCAATAACTACAAATTAGAGGGGTCATGAAACGCAACGGTGCATTGATATATTTTTTTTATATTCACCTGTTTAACGGCCACCAAGACGAACTCTCACAATCACAGCGAACTCATTATCCACCGGCACTGAGGATTTAACAGTTATTCGTACTAAAACCGATGATTAACAACTCAAGACAAACGAGAGCTCAGTTCTAGTCTTTTAAAATAATGATTTACTCAACAATAAATAATAGAGTAACTTTTATTTAAAAAATAACTTTGACAGTTTCGCGAGCGCGCGCTTTTTATTGTAACTTTTTTTTTTGTTGAGGTTGAGTCGATGTAAGGCGCAGGCGTTCGCCGCGACAGCCTTGACCGCTACGCGACTGCGGTCTCACTGAACGAACTGTCTTGGTGCACAGCGCTTGTCCTCTCGCCGGGCCATGTAAACAGCGTTGCCATAGAGACACTTACCCAGTTACATTGGAGATTTCTAGTTCATACCAATTTACGAGAAAAAATGGCCGTTAAAAGTTCAATATGGCTACACCTACCTGTACATCGAGATTATCCACTTAAAACTATTCCATGAATAAAAAGAATTAATTTTTACAAATTACATTACGACCACCTTAATAAAAACTTTGGAAAATAAAGTATATTCCAAAAATATTTTTTTCCACTTTTGTGGTAGTTTAACGATTGTATCTGGCAACACAGAACGCACTTCCAACAGTTAGTTTTCGCTCGGTTGCACCGATTCCGGTCAGCTTTTATGTTTTTTCCTCTTATTCAACTCGAACAAGAATGAAAGCTTATCGTCTTGTCGATATTAAGTAGGTGTTTTACCAAAACGATCAAACTTTTAGGGCTCCTCTTGGACTCTGCCTTAAGAATAGACAGAGAAGCTTAAGCCTGAGGAAGTACCTACACTTCTCATTGTTCGTTGTTTATCAATCCTAGTTAATAGGCCTTTAAATGTACTACTAGCTATACTAAGGTGCACTCATGAGGGGGCAGAAACTTAAATGTGATCCAGATTTAGTTGACTTACCTCCAGGTTACTTACTCTTGAAACCAATCTCAATGTCATTGCAATTTCAATCCAATAAAATCTCAATAATTATCCAATGTCAAAACTATACAACCCCTATCGTAGTTGTCAAAGTAGCATTTAGAATCCGGAATTTATAGCCAAACTCAATACCATTGAGTTCATTAAATATCCACGCAATACGGATGCAATGGGCGCTAGTGTTGCTCTCAAGAGACTCAAGAGTACGAAATTTCACAATACCAATGTCGATCGATCTTGTATCCAATAGTAAGCCCCCTGGTTCCTCCAGGCTACATCTGATCATGGTGGTCATGCGTACGTTTTTTTTTTTTTTAAGGGGGGAAAATCATCGAATGACTGCTCCCGCCTGGGTGAGGCGGGAGGGAGTGTCAGACTCTTACTGACTAAAAACCACCCCGTTCCTTCTCCTGCACGTCGAGCCGGAGCCCCGGTTACCCGTTAGGTTCTCCGCGACTCCGAATCGGCATCGGCCCTATTGGGCCCCATCTGTGGTGGTCTGATGGCTCTTTGAGGCGCGCGCGGAACGCGACGCGCCGTACGCTCGGGTCTGTTTCTGGTCGGACGGGGAGCCACCCATGCTCGCCGTCCGCAGGCCCGCGCTTACGGTGGCCGGAGATCGTCCCGCGATCCCCGACGCCCGGTGTGTCCTTCGCGATGGCTGGGTTGCGAGGAGGCAGCGCTTCGCTGCCTCACGCGTCCCGCCTCCTCCTTAGCTAGCATGACTGCTTCGCAAAAGGAGGAGACGGCATCCCAATCCCCCTCGCTCCGCATCATGGCCTGCACTAGGCCCGGACGCGAGAGGTCGCCATCGCCGATCACTTCCCTGAGGACACGGCGGTGCTCAGCCCACGTAGGGCATTCTCCCACCGTGTGTTCCACCGTGTCCTCAGGGCGGTCCTCGCAATGATGACACCCAGGCGTTTCCTCCCGCCCCATCAGACACAGGTACCTCCCGAAACTCCCATGTCCGGTGAGGCCCTGCGTCAGGCGGTAGGTGAGGACGCCGTAGCGTCTCTCAAGCCACTCCTCAAAGAGGGGACTTACCGCTGCGATGGCAGCGAGCCCAGTCATGCGTACGTTACGGCAATCCGAAGCTAAGCTTTCTTCCATTTTCTTGGTATCAAATTACTGACACTTCATATTATTGTATTGAAGAATAAATAATAACATTATTATGTTAATATGTCGCCTAGTAGAGCTACCAGCGTAACACTTTTTACACTTTTTGTCTGTCTGTCTGTTTGTTTGTACTGGCTATTGTCTGAATTGATTGATTTATTTATAGGTACTCTGTGGCAAAGTTCATTGAAAATTATTTAGCTGTTTACTTAAGCAAAATGATTATAAAGAAGCTAGTCAAACTGTAGGTATTTTAAAAATACAAAGTCGGATTAATAAATACGAAAAGAATTTACAATGTGCATAAAATAATAATTGAAAAATTTTTTTTATTAAAAAAAATATAATTTTCATAAAGAATCTATGACCCACGTTGAAGATTACCACCAAAAAGATTAAAACAGCATTTTACTACTACTAGCACGTCAACTTTTTTATCTAAATAGTTAATGGACTTACTGATTTAAACTCTTATACGAGTATTTGTATGCCTAAAATAGGCTGATCATAGCGCACTTTAATCTAAAAATGACCAACCAAATGTACCTACGTATCACAAATAAATGTTTCGTTTCATTTCATTTCATTTCATTTCATTTCAACTATAAAGGATACAATGTTTCTCTAAGTTACCTATTTACAAAATAAACCTTATATAAGCGTCTAATAAACGTCGCTCGTGGACATCTGCAAGACAAGAGAAACCTACAAATGCGTTGCCAGCCTTTGGCAGATCACGTTATTTTTTTATTTTTTTAATAGCATAAGCCGGTAAACGAGCATACGGATCACCTGAGGATAAGCAATCGGCGCCGCCAATGGACACTCGAAACACCAAGGCGTTACAAGTGCGTTCCCGGGAATTGGAAATTTGAGGATTGTGGAGGATTCGGGGATTCAATACTTTTTTCGAACTATCAAGACGACAGTTTGCTATGAATTTTGTACGAGAGATTGTGTATTGTGACGTCACGTTTTTTTAGCGTCAAATAGCATACTTATTACTTAAAAATTTGCTGGAAAACAGCTAAAATTAAGTTGGTCATAAAATCAAATAATGAAATTGTGATAATTTTTTTATATTGAACAGTCGAAATAATTCATTTTTGATTAAGGAAAGTATCCAATTATCTATGTTATGTACGGAATCCTTAACAAATCGGTAACAATAATAAAGCCATTCCACTTGAACTTTTTTCGTCAGATGACGCAGTCGGGCGCTGGTACCAGCCATCAAGATAACACCGCGGTATGAGACCTCTTTTTGTTACACTTACCTCATTAAAACATGTTGTAAGAACATTATTACTTACAAGTCTCTGCTAGCCAGAAGCGTGGATAAAAAGTAGCTTAAGTAGCTCATGTGTCATCTCATCATCATCAATTTGGTGTAGGCCTCCTTCAAATCATTCCGTTTAGTTCTATTTTGGCCTGTTAGTATCCAATTTTGTCTTGCCACCTCCTTGGTGTCATCTTTGTATCTCATCTGCGGTCTACCAACAGGACGTTTGTGTTCCCACCGTCTCCACTCCAGCAGATCCTTGCACCACGAGTTGTGTTTGCGGGCGTCATTCCCCTGCCGTTTCGGGTGTCTATTGGCAGGGGCCATTAGGTGATAGAATAAATAGGTCCATTGTTCTTATTTGGGTCATAAGTCCTGTCACATATGAGTCATAAGTAATAAGGATATTACTTAACTAATTACCACCAAAATGAAACGTAATCAATAGTTCTCGTTACCACGCTTAGTCATGAGTCATAGACAACTTTCATCGCATTTTTGTCATCAGCCAACCACATAACATTCGATTTATCTTAAGTATTCAAAAACGAATGAGTCACGAATATTATATTCATAAAAATAAAACATAACAGTTTTTATTGGAAATTTGTGTTAAGTAACTGGTTGATACATAGCTTCGTTTCTGGATAGAAGAGCCATGCTTGGCCACGAATGACTTGACCGACCGGAGTGATACCACGGCCTCACAGAAAACCGACGTGAAGTAACGCTTGCGTTGTGTTTCGTCGTGTGAGTGAGGTTACTGGAGGCCCAATTACCCTCCCCTTCCCCAATCTCCCCAACGATCCTGAAACTCCTAATCCCTAAAAGGCCGATAACGCAATTATAACGCCTCTGGTGTTCCAGGTGTCCATGGGCGACGCCGATTGCTTACCATCAGGTGATCCGTCTGCTCGTTTATCGCCTTATGCCATAAAAAAACCGACATGAAGCAAAGCTTGCGTTGCGTTTCCCCCGAAAAGATGACAACACTCTTTTATCTAATTCTGCTGATAACTAACTATTGATCTATCTGCTAAACGCGCAGAGGGATCCCTCCTGTTCTTTAAAAAAACGCCATGAGCCAAGACGTGTGAAGGTGTGTAACTGTGTCAAGTCATGGGTGAGTTTACATGTATATAAACTAATATAATGTCATGTAGGTACTCTCATATCATACCCAGGAATACCGAATAACAATATTTTTAGGGGAACAAAGAATTGGTCCATGCTGGAATTGAACACGGAACCTGTACCGCAGCAGCTATTTAGGTACCCACCCAGGTTACTGCACCAACCCGGATAAAGTTCAATAGTTGGAGGGTAAATAAGACGCATGTCATTTGCACGTTTTGTCAATTGACGATTGCAAGACAAATGCTTGTATCTTCATCATCATCATTATCAACAGCCTATAAATATCCACTGCTGAGCAAAGCCTCTTCTCACACGGAGAAGGTTTGAGCATTAATCACCTCGCTTGCTCAATGCAGGTTGGCGATTTCAAACTTATAATTAGAAATTATAAGCCCAGGTTTCCTCACTACGTTTATCTGAATACTTGTATCTTTTGTATCTTGCGTATCAATAATGTGAGCCCCAAGTAGTACTTAATTCTTTAAGAAACGCAACTGAACGGGTCATGAACTTTGACGGCACGGTTGCCGCGGTGGCTGGAAAACTGGCTGCCGCGCAACGTGTCGCGGGTTCGATTCCCGTATGTGTGTGATGCACAGACTGTTGTTCGGGTCTGGGTGTCATGTGTATGTGAACTTGTATATTTGTAAATGCACCCACGACACAGGAGAAAATCCTAGTGTGGGGCAACGTTTAAAATAAAATTAAATAAATAAACAAAATGATCCTGTTGACATAATCCGAATACAATATTAAACTTATTATTCAATCATTAAAAGTTAAGAAGTTGTTTCATCAAGAAAAGCATAAATTGTAACTTGATAATTGTCATCATCTTCATTATCGTCAGACTACTGGCCCATTGCTTAGCAAATGCCTCTATTCAGACGGAGAAGGAATCAGCATTAATCACCATTTATTCTTCTATACTAATATTATAAAGAGGATAGATTTATACCTATTTTTGTATGTTTGTAATGAATAGGCTCCAAAAGTACTGGGCCGATTTAAAAAATTCTTTCACCTATAGAATGCTACAATCTTCCAATTTGACATAGGCTACATTACATTTTGAAAAAAATAGGGATACTTGGTAAAATTTGAACAATGTAACCGAAGGTGTAGAAAAATGTGTCTTAAAATGTCTTTCGTCGAATGCGCTGCCGAAACTATTAGCGATAGAACAAAATAATGTACAACAAAATTGAAGAACATCATACTGTCTATAAAAAACTCCGCGGTAGCCACGGTATATGTCCAACTATTGTAGTTATGTCACAACAAAAAAAAAATGGAACTTCTGAACTTTTGCACAAAACCGTTTCAAAACGAAATTAAATTGACAGAAAACTTCTGACATTCTCCAACCCAACTGTCATGCATCCGGCTAAATTTGAACTGTCAAAACAAAACAAATTAATGTCAGTCAGTGTAAAATTCACAAGTTTAGTTTTCGTAAAAACTACAATGAAATAATTGGAAACCGATTTACATTTAATCAGTTGTAAAGTATACCTAATATTCTACAAGGTCCGTACGCCATATAATGTTAAGATAATAATCTTTTTCTATAAAATATGACGCACGTGTTGGGGGATCAGAAAAGCACGCTAGATTTTAACATTTCATATAAAATCTTTTGTTTTATTGTTTAGAGATGGTTGCTATTATTATTTTCATAAGTTTAATTCTGATTTTAATTCAAAATTAATAACAATATAAATATAACCTTAAAATATGTAAACAAAAACATGTGAACTAACGGAGGTTATAACACAATAAAATAAAATTATAACATAGAAACCTAAGATTACAATAATTATTATTGCTATATATAAAAATCGTCTTAGACATCTAATTCTATCTCTACAATCCTGTAAAAGAACACACAACCATTAAAATTAAATTAATTTACATTTTAAACCTCCACAGAATGGACGACTCAACGAAAACTTCGCCATCCATCACTCGACAGAAACGCAAAAGAAAATCCAAAACCAAATTCACAGCATCGCAACAAAAAAGTCCAAAATTAGACAATTCTACAGAATTACCTGTGAAACCAGCAAAGATAGCTAAAATACAGACTAATACCATTGGTACGAAGTCCCAAGATGATGTAAAACTATTGGAAGCCAGTGAACGATTCCCGATATTGAAGGACCAAGAATTGGTCAACAAGTTCCTTAAAGTACCCATGTCGAATAATCAGAAAGGTATGTTATAAGTGTTTTACCGAAGTGGTGTCCTATACACAGCTCATAGTCCTGAAGAGATTTTCTCTAATGGCGTGATAATACTCCACTGCCCGGCAGTGGTTTGACTTAAGTATACAGGTAAATAAAGTTGGAGTGTCGGTTTATAATAATAAAATAACCATTTTATACTACATGCATGTGAATATACATGCAATACCAATATATACCAATACCGTAATATACCAAAATAACATTTTTTTTTAATTTTTGTCTGTATGTATGTTTGTTCTGGCTAATCTCTGGAATGGCTGGACTGATTTTGCCATACTTAGTGGCAGGTAGCTAATGTATGGAAAATAGTAACAAAAAAAAATTATGCCCTAAAATTCATATCGCAGTCGCGGGCAACAGCTAGTATTTTAAAAGAATGAGATGAAATTTAAATATCACATAATTTTTTCTTGAATATCTATACCAACATGTTATCGGTGTCCATAAGTATCTGTATTTATTTCTTGTTTGTTTTCTAATTTTGTATTATTATTAGTTTATGAAGGGTTGGGCCTATTCCCAATCACTGGGCACAAATTCAAATTACCAATTTTTTTTCGTTGTCATTATCGTGTAGATATTATAAAATTAAAACTAAATTATACAAAACTTAAACACAAACATTACAACCACAAAATTTGCAAAATCAATTCAGCGGCTCTCGAATTTTAGTGTGGCTAACGAATGGAAATTAGTTTTTTTATTTATCATAATAATTTTCTTTATATTCCAGGTCGCATCCGGCAAGCAATCAGAGACTCCTTACATGGCACATCAAACATCCTAGTACCAGAGATAATACACAACAAAATACAATCTATACTAAAAGGCAACGCAAACTTGACCGACTCAGAACTCCGTAGAGTCCGCATACTATACAACCTCCTTAAAACATCACTAAAGGAAAAAGAAAAAAAGGTAGACATTAAGCAGAAATTAAAAATAGAAAAAGAAAAGGTTGATAAAGTAAAGAAAGAGACAGAAGATAGCCCTAAAGCGAAGGAGAAAGAGGGAAAGAAAGATAAGGGGGAAAAAAAAGAACAGCTTGAGAAAAAAGTTAAGGGTCCAAAGAGGTATGTGGTGTTCTTGGGGAACTTGCCACTGGACGTTGATAAGGATAAAGTGAGTAAAGACCTTCTTTCTTTCATTAGATTATTCTTGTTTGTGACTTCCTTTTTTCCTTGATATTGCTGAAAATAGTTATTTTTATTACAGTAATATTAACTCGTCGAGTACCTGTTTTGTAGACACAATTATAGAACAATAGGTTGCGGTCACCGGTGACCGCTTGGTGTTTGACAGTTGAAATTGGTATTTTGTGGGTTTTTTTAAGTCAGTTAAAAAATTATTTAATCAACCGATTTTAAAAAAAGAGGGGCTTGTCAGTTTTTTTTGACTTAGTTTATTAAAGAATTATTGTCATTTACATTCCATTGCAATGGAAGACTACTTGGTAACTGAATTTCTTTTAAAAACTTTCAAAGTTCTATATTATTTACTATACTAAAGGCCCAGAAAAAATGTTACACTGTGAAATATTTTTATAATAACTACCGTGAGACATACTAAATTAACCTGTTGAAAATCAGCCCCTAAATTTGTTCATACAAAAGTAGTCTCTAAATATCGGAAATAAGGTCTATAATATAGTTAGTGGAGAGTGGTCATCGGTGACCGCTTGGGGATATACGCGTCTAAAGTTCGTCCTCATGAGCAGCGTGCGCGGCGATGTCGCGCAGTTCACTCTCAGTATATTCACATGAGTCACCCGCGATTTTGGTTAACACTGTGTGAATAAATTATTGATGAAATAAATGAATACAGAGTCCCTTACTCAACATTTTATTTTATTTTATTTTATTATATTTGGGAAAAAAAAACAATATTACATTATATATAATATCCATCAGTAAAGTACATAAAACCAAATTAATGTAGGTAATATCCACAACATTTTCCACAGATTACCTTTTGAGACATAAGCTGTGATGAGGTCACATAACAATATTTATTATCTATATTTGAAGAAACAAGCAAAACAATCAGTTATATTAAGATACAAGATCCAAACTCCTCAGCACATTAATGACTTTACCTCTAAAATTGTTTCTAACATCCATGCTTATGGCGACTCAGTCAACAAATCCTAAAGAAATCATCCAGTTTGGTGTAGTATTTTAAAAGATATACGCACCCTAACGTTTCTGTAATTAATTAACATGGTTTAAAGTTACTTTTTCATTTATTGTATCTTTTTTTTGTTACAGATTATAAACCACTTCTCGGAGATGAACGAGCATATAATAGACATCCGTATTCCCAAACCATTGCCGGGGAAGAAGAAGGCGATCGCTTATTTAGAGCTCAGTAATGAACCAAGCTATGAGGTATGTAGTAAATAGAAATATGTCACCCTCGTTAATCTTTGACAGAAGCATATAAACTGTCAAACACCAAGCGATCACCGGTGACCGCAACCTATTGTTCTATTTGTGTCTATAATGACGGTACTCAACGAGTTAAATGTTTATCGAGGTTTAATTTCATTAATATACACCGTGCTTTTATAATAACTATCGTGAGATATACTAAATTAAATAAAAATGGGTTACTCACGTGAATATATTGAGAAAAGCTCTACTAGTTTCGAACCACAGAGGGGTGTCGCGCAGCTTACAGCCGAGTAGGCTGCGCGACATCGCCGCGACCGCGAACGCTGCTCATGAGAAAGAACCCCTCTGTGATTCGAATATATACTTTCGCTTATATTCACGTGAGTAACCCGCGATTTTTAGTTAAATATACACCGGGAAATTTATATCGTTTTTGTCCCGAAGTAAAGTGGTTTTGTCATGGTAAGGGCTCATACACAAAACTGCGATACGAATTCCTGCGATGCGATTTCGTGTGACAGGGTAACCATTCCTGCGACGACCGTTAACCGTTCTAAACGTATTTTAAATTGAAAACTAGGTCGTGACATGGATCGTAAAAAGAAGTGTGCATTTCTGTTATTGCTTAGGAGATACAGGAAATAGAAACAAAAATGATTTTGGGTAGATAAGATTTTGATGCGCGATGCGAATCAATTCGCTAGTTCTTGCGATGCGTAGAGGGAGGTCGGATCTTTTTGCGATGCGACGTCGCATCGCAGTTTTGTGTACGAGCCCTTATACAGTTTTCCAAATACAATGTTTAAAACAAAAAGCAACTGATGAACCTTTGTACGGTCAAAGGTCAAAAGTCCACTGCCACCGTAAGACTACTATCGATTGCGCTGCAGCGCTTATACACACATGCACACGCATATTTTTACCCGTGTGTGTACGCGTGCGTGTGTTTATGCGTACGCACGCGTTTTTATGCACATTAATATGAAATTACTTACGCATTGCCGTGTGAACATCACTCACGACGGCAGTGGACTTTTGACCTTTGACTGTACCTTGCAAACTTCGAAGGCGTATACAAGCTCATAGTACATTATCAAAACATCATGCTTTGTAATTTTCAAAAAAGTATAGTGCCTACAATACAAAGTGCCTTACACCTAGTGTCTCATGTGCATACTCTTTTAAAAAACGTTCCCCACATTAGGATTTTCTCCTGTGTCGTGAGTGCGTTTACAAACATTCCTTTTTTACATAGTCAAAGTCAAAATCATTTATTTCAATTAGGCCAGAATGGCACTTTTGAACGTCAACAAAAAAATTATAAGAAGTGAAGCCATTTGCTCATTCCAAGGTGTAGATTCCTATGGAGAAGAACGAGCAAGAAACTCCATAGGTTACTCTTTTTCAATCAGGTTCACAATACAATTTACTACTTAGTTACATAGTTTTGCTGTTTGGATTGTGCGAGAACAATGTAACACTAAAATCCAGTCAAAGTTCACGTACACATGACACCCAGACCCAGAACAACTATTTGTGGATCACACAGAATGTTGTTCCTGACGGCAGCGAGTTGTCCAGCCACCACAAAAAAACGACATCTTTATTTTTATTTTCTTGTTTTTACTTTATGCATCGAAAGTACTACTTATGGCAAGTTGCATAAATTTCACGGCATTTAAATAGTTCTTGTCTTGTTGATCGATATATCAGAAATGCGAATGCCGAACCGAATCAGAGATTGGTTCTGTATCTCGGTTTCAACTCGGAGACGTCAACCATTGGTTGCGGCTTCCGAGCTTCAGAATCTTTATTTTTGTCAACTTTGGTATAGAGATAAGCTCTATACCAAAGTTGACTGTCTTGTACTTGACACACGGCTACACATCGAGCTTTAGGCGATTCTCACACTGCCCCGCATGATGCAGCGTAGCGCGTAGACGCGTGTTCTTCCGTTGCTCGTTGCTTGTAAGTATCTCCGTTTGTATGGAAAACACGCACAGTCTAACACACAGAAAATGCATCCACGCGCGTTCATGCGGATCACGCGCATACACGCGGAGAAACATGCACCCCCGGGCGTAGGTGCGGGGCGAGACGCAAGGTATGGCACACCGAATCCCGCAGTGCCGCGCGTGATTTTGAATGGGCGTGACGTGTGTGACAGAGAACGGCGGATAAATGAGAGCCGCCGTGCGTGAATCTACAAAACGCACCTACGCGCGTGAGTGCGCAAAAAACCCGCACGATGATGCAGATCTGCACTCCCGCAGGACTGAACGGGCGTAGGTGCATCGACACGCAATATGCAGCATGATGCGGGGCAGTGTGAAAATCGCCTTACATAACCAGTATAAACTGAACGTTAAATGTGCGGAAAGATGATGCGACGCGACACCAGGATAAACTGGTTTTGTATAGATTGATGTGTGGTCGTATGTACTTTAAACTATTGTATTGTTTCAGTTTGCGTTGTCGAAACACCACTCGATGCTGGGCAACAAAAGGATCAATGTATTATACACGGCGCCGAAAAATGCCAAGCAGACAAAATCTGGCACGAAGGTAATTTAATATATTGAAATATTTGACTACTGCCCGAATACTGAAACGTTACTCAATTTTAAGTCGCGCCTAAGTATAGTTCTATCTCTACAAATTCTTAGTAAAATGACAGAGATGGCACGATATTTGAGCACGACTTAAAATTGAGTAACGTTTCGGTATTCCGGCATTAGTTTCTATAGGTCTAGGTACGATAAAAAACAGTAGATAAGTCGTGAAGTTGATGAACGAATCATCAACTTCCAACCTTACTCAACTAAACATACATAACATCACGCCTTTTATCCCCGAAGCGGTAGGCAGAGGTGTACTTTACGGCACTTAATGCCACTGTACAATGTAACACCCACTTTTCGCTATTTATGTTATGAGTAGTATTGCCATATACCGGCCACAATTCCAGACTCCGTGCTACTACTGAGAGTTTTTGATAAATCCAGCAATACTTTGCCCGACCCTGGAATCGAACCCGAGACCCCTTGCCCGTCAGTCGCACTTGCGACCACTCAGCCAACTAGGCAGTCTCCTTTTGTAATAAAGTTGATAGTCTATCAATTAAATAAACTAAAATTTCGGACTTTGTGAATGATTGTTATTTTTATTATAACCATCGAAATTTTCCAGGATAGCAGTCCTTTTTAGTCAACTATGACCATAGTTGACTAAAAATTTCGTTTTTTTCCCGTTTCCCACATTTATCTTAGACACATAGTCTTAAATGATGTTTTTTCATATTTCCAGGGCAAATCAGCGAAACTAATAGCTCTACAGAAATCAGGGAAGTTAGTAGGCAGCATCCCCTTAGCCAAGAAGAGAAGTCAACGCCGCCTGAAACAGAAACAAGCCCAAGCTAAATTAGCTGCTGAATCCGCCTGAATTTCATAATCAAATCACTTCAAAATAATTTGAATACATCTCGCCATTAATATGGATTTAAAAACAATATTTGTTACCTGCTTTACTACATCTATAGTGCGAAAAAGCCGTTATTTATACAAAATAGAAGATAAAAAAAAGAAATTGCGCAGTTTGCTTTTAAAAAAGTTTAAAATAAAATGATTTTGAAATCAGCGAAGTAGGACTTCGCTCTATTTCCGAAGATTTCCGATCGAAAACGATGATTTGAATTTTGCGAAATTCTAATTTCGCGTAATCTGAAATAACGGCTATTTTTTTCTAAATACAAAAGTAGAATTTTAATTTAAAAAAATATTTAGATAATATACTAAAAGGCAATACTTTGAGAATGAATTTTATTTTTAAATCCATAATGACGAATTAAAACTTTTAACTTACAAGTACGAAAACTATTTAGTTCTTTTAAATTATGACAATTTATCAGAGAGAAATGACAATACAGTGTTGGTACTTTAAAAAAACGAATTTGATTTGATTTCGTTTTAAATTGTTTTTAGGAGTAAATGTTTGGTTGATGATCAGATCGGAACGCATACTTGTACTATAGTAGGTACTTTAATATACACAGTTTTATTGAAAAGTACCTTGTTTCATTTCATTACTGCCTTTTTTGAGGGGGGAAAATCATCCAATGGTTTCTCCCGCGCGGGTGAGGCGAGAGGGAGTGTCCTACTCTTACTGGCTAAAAACCACCCCGTTCCTACTCCTGCTCTCGAGCCGAAGCCCCAGTAACCCGTTTAGTCCTCCGCGGCTCCTTATCGGCATCAGCTCTATTGGGCCCGTCTGTGGTGGTCTGATGGCTCCTTGAGGCGTGTGCCGAACGCGACGCGCCGTAAGCTCGGGGTCTGATTCTGATCGGGCGGCGAGTCACCCGTGCTCGCCGTCCGCAGGCCTGAGCTTATAGTGGCCGGAGATCGTCTCGCGGTCCCCGACGCCTGGAGTGTCTCTCGCGACGACTGGGACGTGAGGAGTTTCGTTCCCTCATGCGCTCCGCCTTCTCCTTAGCTAGCATGACTGCTTCGCTGAAGGAGGAGAAGGCATCCCAGTCCCCTTCGCTCAGTACCATAGACTGAACCAGAGCCGGACGCGAGAAATCGCCGATCACATCCCTGAGGACACGGCCGTGCTCAGCCCACTCAGGGCACACCGCCACCGTGTACTCCTGATTTCATTACTTCCTACTCCAGCACTAACGCGCTAACCGCCGGAACTACTGGTATCGAGGAAAGTTATAGACTATAAATCATCATGCTACGATCAATAGGAGCTGAGTAGAGCGGGTAGCACACAGTGAATATCATCCCTTTACTCAGCTGGTGGGCTCTCATTAGCTAACCATAACTTTATGATGACTAGCTAGACTAGACCATTTTAGTTAACAGTAGGTTGACTAGATGGCGCTAAATTGATTTATTAATAAAACGGTAGATGGCGCTTTACTCAACCTCCATACAAATAATGCTAAATGTAAGGGATTCTACCTCGCGCTATCAAAGTTTTCATTGCGTTTGTGTTTGGTACAATAATTTAGCACCAACAAGTGTACTTGCTTCGGCAGTACATATACTAAAATTGGAACGATACAGAGAAGATTAGCATGGCCCCTGCGCAAGGATGACACGCAAAATCGTGAAGCGTTCCACATTTTTTGAAGAAATTAGAATTGGTACATACGGTTTTTGCTCGACCTTTTTTATTTGTACCTCGTGGTTTTTACTCTCAGTCTGCTTATGAGGAAATAAGCGTGAACAAACTTAATTTCTTTTGTTACACTTCAACTTAATGCTTGTCGAGTCATTGGGTTTTCCTACCTATGGCAATTTTCATGATAAGTATTTTGTAGTTGGAGCAGGACAGTGATATATATATTTTGCCGGTAAGGTGTGTGTGTTTGTTGGCAGAAGGGGCATCAAAATACCTACGCGTGTTCTTGATTCGGTGTTTATTGAACGACTGACTCCCATTAACTTAACCTATTGTGTTGTGCCTAAGATTAACTACTGTGCCTACGCGCTACATTCTTAACTACAGCCTATTTCACACGGGGCCGGGGACAGAACAGTGCTTTGTCCTGTTCCAAACTGTTCTGCTCCCATGTGAAATAGGCTTAAATGATGGCATATAGTGACGGCAGAATACTATCAATCAGAATAGATCATTGTGCCGACCAAAAATCAAATCAAAATCATTTATTTGTCCGAACAAGGTATACAGTGTTCCAGTTCACAATGAACTTATAACTTATAACTTATACCTTATACAGTGAAACTTGGTTAAGTGGGACCTGGATAAGTGAGAAATATCCATAACTGGAACTCATGCTGAGGTCCCAACACTTTGGCACTGAATTACCTCTGTTAGTGGGACGAGGTAAACCTCTATATCTGGGATTTGTTATTTCGATTTATCATCATAGTTACCTCTATAACTGAGACAGCGAGTAAATTTTATATGCATAAACCTCTGTAACTGAGATAATAATAAAGCCCTTTATTCTGAATTTTTACATTACGAGTTGTTACAAAAAGGTTACAGTATATCTCTTAATTCAGTGTGCCTTTTGGCAAAGGCCTCCTCTAGCTGTCTCCATTGAATTCTGTCGCGGGCCACTCTTCTCCAGTTAGGTCCCGCTGTTAGCCTTAGTTCGTCCTCCCATCTTTTTAACTGCTTTCCTCTGCTGCGTTTACCGTCTCTCGGATACCAATCAATCTTGCACCATTTTTCCTTGTTTTCTCTCATCATAACATTGTTTGTTTACGAATTCTTATTCTACCCACAAATTCCACACGTAATTCCAAGTCCACCTCTATTAATGGAACCGTCTGTAAATGAGACAGATATTTATTTATACCTGTATATCTGAGACACTGAGTAAGTGGAATACCTCTATAAGTGGAACGACATTGTAGGTCCCCTGATGTCTCACTTAACCAGGTTTCACTGTACTTATAACTCTAGACTCTAGTGCTGGTATCCTTGGGAGGTGGCGGCGCCTATTGCTTACCATCAGTCAGGTAATCCGTCTGCTCGACAGCCATAATAATACATACCTACATACATAACATCACGCCTTTTATCCCCGAAGGGTAGGCAGAGTCTGGCAGAGGTGCACATTACGGCACTTAATGCCACTGTTAAATGTAACACCCACTTTCTACTATTTATGTTATGACTTATGAGTCCCATGTAATACAGGGTGAGCCTATTGCCATATACCGGGCACAATACCAGACTCCGTGCTACTACTGAGTATTTTAAAATTAAGTAATACTTTGCCCGACCCGGGAATCGAACCCGAGACCCCAGGCCCGGCAGTCACACTTGCGACCACTCGGCCAACGAGGCAGTCATCAATATTTTCATGCATGCTCGTCGGACAATAGTATAGAATTATTTGTCAAAACGATTTTCTCGTAAAATGCACAGTAAGAGATATTGTAAAAAACTGTTTTTGAACGCCATTTTCCAAGATGGTGGCGCGAGCGGCGCACCTACAAAAATGCAAAATAGAAATCAAAAAGAGCACATTCAAATCTACATAATGGCCGGTTTTCAAAACTTCCGGAAAACATTCATCATTAACTGCCTAGGGCACTAGGTTACAGAGGGACACCTAGAGATCCGCGTACCAACTGCCCATTGTGGCGAGTGCCAAAAAAATTAAGGGCCCATGAAGTGCTAGCTTAGGGCACTTTCTAGGTAGCAGTCTGCCTCTATAAAAAAGATGAAAGATCGAATATTTTATTATATGTATATTAGCCGTTGCACGCGTAGAATACGAGTTTTAGGACATCATTTTTTATTTATTTCATTTTCCTAAAATACCTACTAAAAGTCCATGTTACTCCCTTGTACATCAGTTGCCTACCTGCCAGTAAAAGTTCTGTCAAAATTGGTTCAGCTATTTCAGAGATTAGACAGTACATACAATCAGACAAAAACTTTAAAATATGTTATTTTGGTATAGGTAGGTACCTATCGTATCCTTACTTATATTATAAATCGGAAAGTGAGTTTGTCTGTTCCACTTTAACGCCGTAACTACTGAACCAATTGCTTTGAATTTTTGCAGATGTATAGTTAGAAGTCCGGATTAAATAATAGGGTACTTTTTATCCCGGAAAAATCTGATATTCCCGAGGGAAAACCAAGTATTGGTATAGATGGCGCTGTGTGTATTGGTATATATCACATTGGCTTTTTATCCTTTAGTGACGCGAGCGAAGCCGCGGATAAAAGCTAGTGTTTATTCATAATTATGCATGTAGTAAAAAGCTGTTGTTTCAATAAAAAAACTACATTTTTATTTGTCTGTATAGATTTGTCGGTTCGAGGATTACGCGGCCGATGATACGAGTTGCATCTTCCGTCAAATGTGAATCGAGCCTTATACTACCTGGGTGAAATTAGGGTGGATATTTGGTACAAAATAAAACACAAATATTTTGTTTATCTTAACCGTATATTAACTCAAGCTATGGAGCTGGCGTTGGAAGCGATACGGGGCCACAGGTCCGCGCACTCTTTGGCCACTGGTCCTGTGATAGCCGACCCTTTCATCTCGCCTTTGTTGTTTACTATGACGCCCGCGTTGTCCTCGAAGTATATAAACACCCCGTCCCGCCTCCTGAACGGTTTCCGTTGTCTGATCACCACTGCCGGCATTACCTGGGAAAGAATTTAGAATTTAGTGTTGTAAAACTCTATTTCATGAAAGTAACGATAATGAAAGCATAAGCTGGTGTTTGTTTCTAGATCTCATTTTTAGATTTGATGTAAAATCCAGGTCATTATTACCAGGCCATATATTACGATTTATAACTGACTTCATTCAACTATAGTATAAAAAAACAGTATTCAAAGGCCTTAGTACAAGTTTGTGTTACGTTTAATTAACGTAATTGAAACAAGCATTCATCACTCTGATACATTGTTTCATTGCAACCGGTCAATCAGAGCGCCGGACGCTGACTCACACTTTTTCACCTGTTGAGCTTTAGTACTTGCTTTTAATTAGAATACTTAATTAGTATTAACAAGAATTAATGCCATTTTAAAATCATCAAATCACAGACCAAACCATTATTTTTTTTATTGGTAACTATTGTTGACAATGGAGTCACTCAGTCAGCCAAGGTATATCCACAGACTGCATTCACAGTTCAGATAGTATTATTTAGCGAAACCCTATGGCGTCTCATCATGGTAACTACATTGCCAAAACAGTTATTAAAGTTTAGATTATAAAATCATCAAGGTATGCAAGCTGTGACATGCAACAAGAGTTGTAATTTATCTTCAGTTAAAATCTTTAACTGATCAAACCCACTAACTCTCTCACTAACTCCATTATAGACCTTATTATAGACCTTATTTGATTAGAGACTACTTTTGTATGAACAAATTTTCAAGAAAATCTGTATCATTTACTTTTAATATGCAGTCAGCCCAATTATTTGGAATGCAGATCAGTTTTGACTGTTTGCATTTGGATTCAATAAAAAGGCTTCCCGAGTTTAACACAAAAATCTCAATCAGAAATAATTACCGTTTCACATGTCAACTACTTACTGATGTCAACATCGTTAAATTATTTCATAGTTCAAGCGAATCTGAACTATATAATAGTATTTGTCATAATTATCTAAACTCTTGTTGTGAATCAATGTAAAATCAAACACCCACACACACAATCCTCAATAACAAATGGGACATACCTTTTTTCTGAGTTCTGGTTTACCCTTCTTGACAGTGGCGACGATCATGTCTCCGGATCCGGCAGCGGGAAGCCTGTTCAGGCGACCCTTGATACCTTGCACGGCAATCACATAAAGGTTCTTGGCTCCTGAAAGTTGAAAAAACAATATTAGAGTAAAAAATTCTATGAAAACTGTAGTAAATACTCTTTAGTGAGTCAATTATGTAAATTAACCTCATTTTAACATTGTTTTGTTTATAATATCTCGTGGGTTCAAGCATTTAGGTCTTCTAATCTTCAAATACAATGCCACAGATAATATAAGCAAGACTTTAGTAGAAGATTGGGTATTATAAACTAAGTACTTTCAATGTTTTTAACCGATTGTAGAAAAAGAAAGGTTATGTTTTGTGTATGTTATTCATGTTTCGGAAAGTTTATAGAACCACGTGATTTAATTATGGAGTTTTGATAATGATATTCGTACTTATTAAAGTTAGGCTTGAATTGGAGGCAAAATTCTAGTCACAAGATTATTTGTTTGTCCAACAGTGGACAAGCAAGGTTATTTACAAGGTTATACAGATATAATTGAACAACTTCAGACACAGCCAAGGAAGAAATCATCATGATTCAACACACTTAGTGTATCCATAGAACATCATCACTAGTTGTTCAATCAAACGTGCCCATTTAGGTTATGTTAGGAATATAAAACAAACTCGTGTCTACCTGTGTTGTCTGCGCAGTTGATCACAGCTCCCACAGGGAGACCCAACGAGATGCGGAACTTCGCTCCCGCGGAACCACCACGTCCTTAAAACAGAAAAACCACACTTCATACATTTTTCATCACAACACTTCTACTCACGAAATACAAAGTGAACAACAAAAATATACGTGGCTCCCAAATGAATATAATACTAGTTTCGATTTACACATTGTTTCTAAATTATTTTAACACAAAATAACATGATTATTATGGATATTTTATAATTTCACGAACCTCTTTTAGACATTTTGTTGTGTCAATTTTTGAGAGGAAATCGAAAGAACGCGAATTTAGCAACACATCGAAGGTAAAGATTCGTTTAGAAATCAGATACCGGTAAAGACGATTTGGACCCATACGAAGTTAGCTACAAGATGCAAACAATATTTGTTTTTTAATTATATGGAAGCTTTGGCTAAGTAAAAGCAAAAGCAAATCAAATAGCAAAATAGAATCATAAAAATTGCTGCTTTAGCGTAAATTTTTTTACTATTCAAATTTTTTACTCTTTTTACAACGAACTCGGCACAAAAATGAATATTTCTGAACGAACGATCGCGTTTCGTTTGACGACAAATATTTTCTGGTCTTGGTATTTGTGTAAATTTTTTAATTAATACACATGTGTAAAATAATTCAGAAAAATATTTTTGATAATTTATAAAATAAAATAAATTTATCTTGGTCGACCAGTATTTTAATTAACAAAGCATGTAACGGACTGTAATCAAAAACTGTTTGTCATTTTCTGTCAAATTCGTTGCGGCTTGTCATTGTGTGAGTTCCACAAAATCTTTACAAAAAGTATTTTAAACGTGTAAATTTAGTTATTTGTAGTCAAAATGGCATTTATGGGGGATATGATGAATCCTGCGCCCTTATGGCAAAATGGGCCAGCCCCGGGCGCCTTCTACAACTTCCCAGCAAATTCATCAGGGTTTGGACCAAGCACTCGTCCAGTCCAGGAGTTTAAAGCCCAGTAAGTATAATTTAAGGTAATTTTCTAGGTATCTGAATCCTACAGACGTTATTTCATCATCTTAAACTGTCTTCTTGAATATTCAAAGCAAATATTGAAATACACAAGTCATCTTTTGTATCCTTGTAAATTTTGTCATAAAAAAGCTATTGCAACACAAAGATGTTCTTATTAGACGATACCAATCCTTATTATGATTAAAAGAGCTTGCTATAAGATATTGTACAAGTTTAATCATAGACTTTAACTCGTCGAGTACCATCATTATAGACACAATTATGGAACAATAGGTCGCGGTCACCGGTGACCGCTTGGTGTTTGACAGTTTAACTATCAAAACCTGTATGATTGTACCATCATTCAAACTGCCATCTTCCTGTACTCATTTTGATTCTAACTTACTTGTAAATCCGCCCTTAAGAGACCCACTGACCTATATTGCTATAATATTTCACCTTCCATTCCATTTTGTGATAGGTATTTCATGTGTTGTCACTAAATTAAATTCTTTATTTCAGTTCCGCAACCCCAATCACAACAACCACAACAGTTATTGGAGTCAAGTTTGACAAGGGTTGTGTGATCGCTGCAGACACCCTCGGATCATACGGCACTCTCGCCAGGTTCCGTGACTGTCCTCGTATCATGAAAGTCAATGATCTGATCCTGTTAGGTAACGGTGGCGATTACGCTGACTACCAATACTTGAGGGATATTATTGAACAAAAAATGTAAGTAGTCTAAATTTTCTTATTTTGTAAAGTCATCCACTGGGGAAAATCTTTGAAAATTGTTTAAAATACTATAATGTCGTTTGTTAGACTATGCTTCTCATTTTATTTACAACCAATAAGTTCATTAGTATTAGTAAATGCAACAAAAGCACACATGCTGTAAATGAGTCTAGCCGCCATCATTTAGAAATTAATGGGAAATCACAGCTCACAATAACTACAAAAGGCTAATACTTAAGAAGGATATTATCATAATTTTTTTAACATTCTGAAGTTACAATATATCCTTGTTTTGTCAGAAGTATTTCTAATCGTAACAAGTTTTATAACTGACTAGCTTCTTCCGCGCGGTTGCAGCCGCTCTGCTCGGTTCCTTTTGATCCTAACGTGATGTTTTGTAGCCTATAGCCATCCTCGATTAATGTGCTATCCAACACTAAAAGAATTATTCAAATCAGACTTGTAGTTACGGAGATTAGCGCATTCAAACAAAAAAACAAACTCTTCCGCTAGTATAAGATAAGACTGCAAAAAATATTTATTCATGTTCATAGTATTGATGAGCAGTGCATTGGAGATGGTCTGTTGTTGAAACCTCGCTCCCTGCACTGCTGGCTGACCAGAGTGCTGTACAACAAGCGCAGCAAGATGGACCCCTTGTGGAGCAACTACGTTGTTGCTGGTATTCAGGTACTAATATATTTTACATTTTTTGTCTAAAATGTTTACTTACACTTTCTCCTGTGTTGCGACTTGTGACTATTTTGGGTCAATACCCGGACTATAGTTTTCTCCTGTGACATGATTTTGTCTAGTAATACTACTACTTGCCCTATCGTAGCTGTTAAAATTGCATTGGCGCTAGTGTTGCAACTCCAGAACAGGGTTGTTGCAAATATCAGCATCAGCATCAGCATCAGCGGAATATCAGCATTATTGTCCACATCAGCATCAGCATCAGCATCCGCATTCATTGTTGCTGATGTTAGATGCTGATGTTCAAAGTTCGTGTCGCGACATGACCGGCAGTGGGCGGAGTTAATAGCACGTGCGGCAGTCGCTTCCGAGTTTTGGCCAATCAAAATACATATATTTCATAGCAAATCGTCGATCAATATTGCAAGCAAAGTGCAGTACCTATGCAGAGCGCATTGTTTTGTGTGTGTTTATGTATTTTAAAATGCCTTCCACATTAAAAAGCGGAATTTGGCAGTACTTTAAATTAGTGAATCAAGAAACCGCAAACTGTAACATATGCAAGAAAAATTATTCACACAAAGTATATACCAATACGTCGCTAAAAATCATTTGAAGTCAATACCTACATCCCGAAGAGTATGACAAGTTTTTTAACCAGTGAGTCTGAAGTAAATTCGATTAAAGAATGTCAGAAATACTTAAATTAATTTGTTTTTATTTTCAAAAAACAAAAAAATTACTTACCATAGTGTATTATAATAGAATTCCAGTATTAATAATAGATCGATGAAAATATAATATTTACCTACCTAAAAAATGTATAAAATTGATATAAAACAATTAAAATCAGCATCAGCATCAGCATCAGCTGATGTAAATTACAATAAATCAGCATCAGCATCAGCATCCGCTGATGTGACAAAATCCTGCATCAGCAACAACCCTGCTCCAGAATACGAAATTTCTCAATACTAATGTCGATCCATCGGAATTGGATTCAAGAGTAAGCCCCCAGATAAAAAATATGGACCCTAAAACATGAATGTTGTCCATGCTCGCATAGACATAAAGTTATAAAAACTTTTTGTATTTTTCTAGGATGGCGAACCATTCCTCGGTGCAGTAGACAAGCTCGGCACAGCGTATGAAGACGCGGCCATCGCCACTGGTCTCGGAGCCTACATGGCGACTCCACTCGTACGTGAGGCAGTCGACAAGGGCAACCTTGATGAGGAGGGTGCTAAGTAAGTTATTTGAAGTATCCTCTTTTAAATTTGATTTGTATTGGTTACTCAATTATTATTGTGTTTGAAATAAACAGAAGCAGGTACCTTTTTATTAATGATAACATAGCATCGCGCCCTTTGGTCCTTGAATGGATTTAAAGGCATAATATGATACTCACTTTTCATAAGCCATAGTAGGTGAGCCTACTAGGACAGAGATCTGAAAGAGAGCGACAGAACTCCCAATAACTCATTAAAATCAGAAATCAAACCCTTTCAATCAATGAGCCCGAGAAATGTATGGACAAACTTTTCTTTTGCTCTCCAAAAGAGTAGGGGTTACCTAATTTTCGATAGATATAACATGACATCACGCCTTTTATCCCCGAATAGGTAGGCAGAGGTGCATAACGGCACTAAATGCCACTGTACGATGTAACACCCACTTATCACTATTTATGTTATGAGTCCCATGTAATAGGGGATATATATAGTAGTAAATAATATCAATATTAACATTAACTTCTCTCCCACAGAGCGTTAGTCCGCAAATGTATGGAAGTTCTCTTCTACCGCGACGCCCGCGCATTCCAACGCTACCAGCTGGGCGTGGTCACCAGCGCAGGAGTGCGTATTGAGGACCTAGCAGAACTGAAACATGATTGGTCGCTCGCCCACATGATTCATATGAAGTAAATTACTGTCAGTTATTCTAATAAATGTCTTTTTATAATTATCTTGTGTTGTTATTTGGAAAGGAGTTATAATGAGTAGTGGGTAATAAAAACTCAATTTTATAAAGGAAACTTACATTATATTAGTGAGAAATATAATTATGTATCTAGAATTAAGAAACGTTCTAGACTTAGAGATTACAGTGTTCCGAAAAGCACTTTAGTACATTCAATAAAACTCAATGTAAAACGGCGATTCCATTACTCTTTTCCGCTCTCCAAGTGGCGCTAGTGATGCACAAAATAACCCAAAGTTGACTGTCTTGACATTGGTAGCAATATCCTTCCTACAGTCGTGTAAAAATGATATTGGCCAATAGACGTTACGTCACATTAAGGCATCTAGAATCGCAATAATCCTTGTCTACTTCATTTATTATCGCACCTACCTAATAATACCGCCACCAAAATACGATAATATAAAAATATACAAAGAGAAAGTGCTATTCGTAACACTATAAACAAAACTACGACCAACTTAATGTTCAGTTCCGACAAATCCAAGTGGCGCTAGTATCGGAAAAGGTGTTCTTTACAAACATTTTGTTCGAACTTTGATTAGTTCCTGAATAGATCACCAGAGGCCTTAGTACAAGTTAGTTCTACGTTTAAAGTAATCGTAAGGAATATGCCAAAGAGTATATATAATAAGTATAGGAGAAGAGTATGCGTTCGGCGCACTGATTACTTGCTTCATTGGTGCCGGCCAGAACAAATAAGTTGGCAGTATTTTAGTCGCTTATAAACATTGTTTTCTTTCCAAAAATCATTACACACCATGAACCAATAAAAATACTTTATTGGGCCATGCAACACATGCTAATAACTCACACAAACGACCAATATAAGTCACATTTTTTGAACGGTAGTCGCAAATTGAGCTTTACGCGATTTACTTTTAAGTTTCAGATTAAGCAACTGTTGCCATTGTTAACTGTAATTTGATTATGATAAATCGTTTGTTTTATTTAATCGTCATTTTTTTTTTAATGGGCGAAGGACTTTATAGACTTTGTGTTTTAGAACTTTTGGAAATTCAACCTTTTTGTTGATTAAAATTTCAATATTCTTTTACGTCATATTCCAGAAAATCTCATACAAATAAAAAGCAATGTAGATAATTAGAGCTTATATTAATGTTATGTTCTATCGCCTCTTCTTGTGTCCTTTAGTTGGTCCCTTGACGAAGCACCAGTCAACTGATATCGGCTGGCCTAAGATGTCTGCGCCGTCCAGAGCCTCGCGCGCACTCTGTTACAAAGAAAACAAATTTTAGAACAACTATTATCTTGCTTTTCCTGTGTTATAAACAAATAGAATACACATTTAACAAAGATTGGGCGGCAGTATTCCAAAATGTACTCCTTTTAAATTGTGAAGGGTCTAAAACCTGCCAGCCGAGCATGGCAAATCGTCCCAACGCCCATCCCAGGCGAACATCTCTTCTACAGTCAAGGTCCATAGGTCCAAAGTTCAGTATTGGACTATTATGGACTGTTACATACATAATTATTTATTCTCACATGTGTGTACAATATTGGAATATGTATCAGAGCAATGTAAAACAGACTTTTTTTAAAAAGAGTAACGAATGGAGTTTCTTGCTCGTTCTTCTCCACTCGAATCGACATTTTGGAACGAGCGCCTAGCTTCACTGACGGACAGACTGACAGACTATTATATATCTCATATTTGTTGACGTTTCAAAAGTACCAAATTATGGTCTAATTGAAATAAATGCTTTTGAGTTTGAGTTTGAATTTCACGCCTGTCTCCCATGGTGGTAGACAGAGACTATGGAACGCCAATTGCTATGATTCATACATACATCTTTCGCTTCATCGACAGTCACCAGTCTATTCATGCATGCTCGTCCGTTAAGAGTACTTATTTATTTATTTATTCGAAGGAGTACTGCCACATCACAAACGTATAACATGTACAATACACAAAAGTAACAAAATACAGGTCTAATGCATGCGACAATAATGGCGTACTTCCTTAATATATCGCCAATCTTGTTAGTATATTGTTGCTAATAATAACTTTTAAGCAATATTGTTAAAGAGAGCTAAATAAATACTAAGTAGGAAGTGCTCAATTAACTATACAACAAAAAGAGCAATAGGCCTCTTTTGAAGTGTATTAAGTTGTATGTATTTCGTGACGGCCTTAATGGACCTTGTTAAAATAAAATTACGATCTACTCACCGCAGCCTGTTTGTAGGTCTCATACTCCACAAGAGCATAACCTTTGAGGAATCCAGTGCGTCTGTCCAAGTTCAAGTGAATATTCTTGATCTCACCAAACTCTGAGAATTGATTCTGTAATGGGATACAAATATGCATTAAGGACTATTAAAATTAAAAGTGGATTGGATGTATATTGTTCATTTTGTTACTCTTTACGAAAAGTATAATCTATAATCCTATACTATTATATAAAGCAGAAGAGTTTGTTTTTTTGTTTGAACGCGCTAATCTCCGTAACTACAAATCTGATTTGAATAAGTCTTTTTGTGTTGGATAGTGCATTTATCGAGGATGGCTATAGGCTATAAAACATCACGCTACGACCAATAGGAGATGAGCAGAGCGTGTGAAACCGGAAGTAGCTAGTGATATATAAAGATGAAGAGATTGCTGTTTTGTTTGTTTAAATGTGTTGATCACCGGATCAACTGGAATAAATACTCAGGAATCCAATTCCAATTGATCGACCCTGATATTGTATAATTTCATTTTCAAAGTTGTAATACTAGCGCCTATTGCATCCGTATTGCCTGGATATTGAATGAACTAAATGGTATTAAGATTAGCTTTACATTCCATACTCTGAATGCTATTTCAACAGCTACTGTAGGGGTTGTACAGTTTTGACATTGAACAATTATTGAGATTTCATTGAATTGTAATTACATTGACATTGAGATTGGTTTCAAGAGTAAGCACCCTGGTTTGAATTGATTAAATCTTTTAGTGCTAGATAGTCCATTTACCGAGGTACGCTGTATGCAATAAAACATAATGCACTGATCAATAGAAGCTGAGCAGCAGATGAAACCACTTGAAAGTAGCTACTTATCATAGTAAAGTGTGGAATAATGCTGATACTATGATCTATCCTTGGAAATAGGCTCTTTAACCTCAACATAATAGAAACTGATGCATAGATCTTCCTTTCGACAGACAAGAGGTTAACTGATCAATCCCCAAGCGGTCATCGGTTACCACTCTAGACTAACTCCATGACAAACCTCATTTCTAATGTTTAGAGACTACTTTTGTATGAACAAATGTCGAGGATTATTCATAACTGGACATTTACGAGTAATGTCCATATTATTACCTGTATATCCTCCTCCTGTGCCTCTTCATGCACATTGCTGACAAACAGTATCCAGCCCTCCACTGACCTCTGAGGGCCTGGAGTATTGCCATCACCTTCAGGAGCCAAGCTGTCATATCTACAATAATATTTTGATACATTATTAAATATGAGTTATTGATTTATTTATTTATTTATTTATACATATGGAATGGTAACCGGAAAACCTTTTGAACCGGAAAAATTTTTGAGTCTATAAAGTAGACTTGACAGATAAGTCAGTCAAAGATGGCAAGCAATAGGGCATGAGATCAGATTCCCAAATCTTATACTATTTTATATAAAGTGGAAGAGTTTGTTTTATCGTGCGTTTGTTTGAACGCGCTAATCTCCATAACTACAAGTCTGATTTAAATAACTCTTTTTGTGTTGGATAGCGCATTTATCGAAGATGGCTATAGGCTATAAAACATCACTCTACGACAAAGGAGCTGAGCAGAGCGTGTAAAACCGCGTGGATGTAGCTAGTCTTTCAAATAATTATTCTCATAGGATTTTTATACAGGAATAGTTACATTCAAACTAACTACTTCCACATAATTAATGAATTAATGGACATTTTTATTGGACTTGTTTGATCTTCGGTCTGTTGTCTGAAACTGCTGAATAGAAGTTGATGCCTTCCATTTCAGTTTACTCTTTCAAAAATGACATAACATCACGCCTTTTATGATGCCAAAGGGGTAGGCAGATGTGCATGTCACAGCTCTTAATACCAGTGTACAATAGAACACCCACTTTTCACCATTTATGTGCTCCGTTCTAATATTGAGAATTTTTAAAAACGCCAGTAATGCTTTGCCTGGCCAGGGAATCGAACCCAAGACCCATAACCCAGCAGTTGCAATTGCGATCACTCGGCCAATGAGGCAGTTCTTTCAAAATCGTTATGTTTACATACCTCCCCCTGTTCCCTCTCTCTGAGGCACCTCCGCTACCGGCTTCGCTACCAAAACCTCTACCTTTACGTTTTCGCGCCTTCTCCTTCAAGCGAGCGATTCCCTCTGAAAAAAATGAAAATAACAACTGAAACACATCGTAAATGTTACTAAAATATTTAGAGAGTAGATATATGTTACGTATAACGGAATTTCAAGCCTAAATACGGTTCATTCAACTGTTTGAAGTAGAAAGTTAACCTAAAAATTACTGTTTTTATTAATTAATTTCCTCGGTTAATACAACCAGCGTGCCAATAATTACGTCTAATATTGCCAAGAGAAAGTTATTAGATTGCTGAAAAGTTTAAAATTCTAATAATATTGACCAAAATAAACATGACATGACTTACGTTCACCATCCTCGTCAACTTCAAATTCTTCCGAATTTTCAATATCTAACACATCTGCCATTGTTAATAAATCGTTTTGTTTCTTTATTACAGCTTTAACATGTATTTTTGTTCGATTTACACGTAAATAAACGTGAAACTTCAACAAATTCAACAAACAAAATGACTAGTTCAGTGTTGCTATTGCTAGTAAATAATGAGAGGTTAAGGTTTTGTAAATAATGCGTGAAAAATATTTAAATATTTACCTTATTTTAATTTGAATTTGATGGCCATTGACAAAAAATACAATAAATGTGAGGAAAATATTTATATATCGGTTAAATAACAAAATATTATTATTCGAAATGCAAATATTTTTATGTCTAGCAACATTGCTAAGCAAGCGACAAGCAACCCGCGTTTTTTAAAAGTATAATATGCAAATGTATCCTATTTTAACAAAATCTCTTATTAAATAAGGAGTTCATAAATTTTATGAACTCCTTTCGCAAAAACAATAACGTCAAAAAACTTATGACAAGATCGTTTCACTCATCGATCATTTATTTTGATACAATTATTTTAGGCTAACTGAACGTTAATAAATTCCAAAATGAGTACTTGTAACGTAAGAGAACCACGACACACAGTTTCGGGAGACTGGTCATCAAGATCAACAAAATCTATGACAACAACCCGGTCTTCATCACCCAGCAGGGGAGAAGCAATATTTCACAAGTATATGGACCTTATACACTCGAAGTCTAATCTTTCAGTGGAAGCCAATAAAGCAGAACCTAATGATCGTCCATTTGATTTTTTTGACGACGAAGAATTCGCTTTTGGAATTAATTTACTCAACAATAATGTTGCATGTGTCGGTGACAACATTACTAAACTCATCCAAATGGGTAAGCTTTTCTTTAATTTGATTTTGATATTTTAGACATCAGGGCTGTCCAAACAAAGGCCCGCGGGCTGCAGGCGACCCGAAGCTTGTTTTCATGTGGCCTGCGACACGTTGTAATCGCAACACCTTTATCTTATTTACAACACCAATAATAAAATTCAGTGTATGATTTGTCTACAAGTTTTATCTGTAAGTAAAGAATACAATTTTAAACGTCATTATACAACTGAAAACATTTTTCTGGCTCTTCAGCTTTTGTAACAAATTTAATTAGCCCGCGAGGGTATAGCTTAGACAGCCCTGTTGTAGAACTAGCTAGGTTTTAGGACACGTGCGGGACGTATTAGCACAGTATAAAAATAATTTTCATCAAATGAGGCGGACAAACGTAAAAAAATAACTAATCAGTCTGGAACCCTGATCGTCAGTAGCTTGAATTTCTTCCGTTACTCGTGGGCTACTTCTTTTATATTTTTATTTAATTAAACAATGTACAAAACAAGTATGGTAAACAATAAAGTGAATCGAATATAACTAATATAATACTAACTGTGTAGATGTGCCATATCTTAACAATATTAATTTAATGAATAAACTGCAATGGATATCAACAAACAAACTATCGTTGCCTTAATGCGTTTCATATTTTATTATAATACTAGCTACTTCCGCGCGGTTTCACACGCTCTGCTCAACTCCTATTGGTCGTAGCGTTATGTTTTATAGCCTATAGCCATAAATGCGCTATCTGACACAAAAATAATTATTCAAATCAGACTTGTAGTTACGGAGATTAGAGCGCTCAGACAAACAAACAAAAAACAAATTCATCCGTTTTATATTTATTTATTAAGAGTTACCAACATTTAATTACACAACTACAGTACCTAAGCATAATACAAGCAAGCAAAGAGGAATGAGCCTATGTGTAACAAACAATTACAGGTAACCACAACGAGTAACCAGACGTGAAGACGTAACAAACAAACAAATTATTATAAAGTATCAAATTAGGTTACTCCAGGTATGAAATACTAATTTTTGGGTTGCTATACTGATATTTTTTTAATTTGCCGGGCTTTTTCAGTCTCTACTTTCGTTTGCCAGACTTTATCAAACCAAACTCCGAGGTCCCTAATTTGGTCTACCGCCTGAATTCTGTCACCTCCTATGAAATAATCAAAGCCTATTATTTTGTTTTTTCTAGAAAACTTAAACATGAAAACATTTTTTTCCGTTCAAATCCATTACAATAGCACCATTCAGTCAATCTACAGAGATCGCTCTGAAGGAGCATGGCATCCTTTTCTGATTCTATATAATAATATAATAGTATAAGATAAGATTTCCTGTAATTTATTTAGTTTTCACTTGTTACTTTTCTATATATTTTGTAAAATGTCGAGACATGTTATGGTAAATAATCATTACTTCCAAATACCTAATATAGATTAAAATAAAATAAATACTTACTAATATTAAACAATAATTAATTTCTCTTTTATTTACAAATAATAAAATTATGTAATTTATTTGACAGCTATTGTTTTTTGAGGTTGACAACACTGCATGCAAGTGTCACTAACTCACTACTGTCATTCAAATGTGATTCTGATTATCGATTTTGCGGATTTTGTGAGCATTTATTTTTATTTTCAATACCATTCAGCTTATTCTTCCTCTTGTTAATTTGTGTATTACCTAAAGTATAATGCCAGAATTCCATTTAACGGACTCCATCATCACACAGCTCAACGGTAAGTTATTTGACGAAATATTTAACATTTTTTATTGTGAACAAGTTATATAATTTTGTTTGCAAAATGGTTATTGTTTTGTTTGACAGAAATATTTAATTTTAGCTTCGGGATGTTCTAAATAGTGTTATATGTAACTGGTGTTACATCATTTGGGACTTGGATTCAGTTTAAAACTTCGTTTAACAATGAAATTCAGAGTTGATGAACCTTTTGAATTTGGTAAAATATTCCTGATTTGTGTGTGGTTTTAAGATTTCTTTTCTGTTTAAGTGTTTTGCTGTATAAATATGTTGCGTTTTACAGTCCAGTGTTAACTTACTACCGGTTTTATTGTTTTTGTTTACAAATAACCTCTTTCTGTGTTTTAAGTCCACTACCACCTTTATTTTAAGTGTGGTTGTATAAAATTAACTATGACCATTAACTATATACATCAAATGTTTGGATTTGCCACCCCTGACACCTCTATTGTAATAGAGATCTGTTTTTATCCTGTGTTGTAGTTTTTATTAAGACATTTTATATATTTTTCCATTACAAGTAAAATGAAATGTTCATATTATTGTATTTTTGTTTGTTCATATAATTGAATTAAGCAATAGGCACAGAAAAACAAAGATATGAAAAAAAATAACTCACTAAAACTAGCTTTCTCTAGCATTTATTTTTATAGATGTGTGAAAAAAAATGTAACAACAGTATTGGGTTAACAACAGTGTTCACAAATGAAGAAATAATTCAATCAAAAAATCGTATTTAGGTACACCAAAAATTACTGGCAATTTTTTACTTGTTAAAATAAAATTAAAAATATAACAATGAACAAACACAGACACACACACAAAATATGCACTTATAAATTGTTTCCGAAGTGGTTCTAGAATCATTCTACATTGTATATTGGAGCAATCCCCTGATTGGTTAAGTGGTTGCCAGCAATTGCAATTTCCGTTCCATTGTAAGTTACCAATCAGTTTTAAAATAGGTTTAGTAAATCTAGAATGTCTTTAAAATAACAATATTTCTTGTATAATACTAACTATTGACAATACCGGTTTAACCACATGAAATAATGATTCCGCATGAGCAGAGTGAGTGGACACAGGTACGTCAGTAGGCTGCGTGACGTCGCTGCATCTGCACACTCTGTTTACAATATTTCTTGCTGCACTACAGACACTGCTGCTAAATAAGAGTCCTTTGTGAATTGAAACTGCACTTAGGAGCCAGGAAACTTGGCTAGTCTTATTTAAATTTTATTGAATCCTATATAACTTAAAAAAAGTTTACATGAAAACCACTCTCATTCTAAACGTAACTAAATTGCCTTTTATATCTACATAAATAAAAATGAATTTCCGTTCGTAAGTCTTGCTAAAACTCGAGAACGGCTGAACCGATTAGCATAATTGTGGTCTTCAAATGTTTGTGGAAACGAAAGAAAAAAGAAATTTAGGCGGTACAAAGTTTGCCGGGTGTGGCGACACATGTCACAAGTCAACGGATGACGTCATAGAATCCTACATCGCACATGCGAAGTTTACATTCGATTTAACACGGATAGAAAATCCCAACGAACAACTGTTGGGCAGAAAGCCCGCCAGCCACGATCACCTCGCCTGGTCGGAGGATCCTCCTTTTCCGATATTAGGGAACTATACTCTCTGTTCCCTTCACCGGGTCAACTAGTCAGATAATATTTATTAAACTGTCAAACACCGCGCGGCACCGGCAACCGCAACCTATTGTTCTTTAATTGTGTCTATAATGACGGTACTCAAAGGGTTAAGAAAGGAAAAACACTAATGGCTCTTTGCTCCCAAGTCTAGTAAAGCTTTTCTCAAATAGTTCATATAAAAGCACAATTATTCTTTTAAGTCTACAAACTTGTAGTTGTCGTAAATGGTGTTATGTCATCACACTAAAATGGCTCAATGATATCATTACTATTTAAAATAATTATTGTACAAGACTTCACACTAATTAATTGGCAATGGTTTCAAGAATTGAGTAAGAGATAAAATTAAAACAGATTGGTCTTAAGGGTTGATGACTCATTAATCGAGTTGTGGCTAACAAGAGTCTCATCTCTGATATCCGATACAGACATCGCTTTTTTAATTCTTAGTAGTAGAGACGACCAGAACCAAACCCGAGCGTACGGCGCGTCGCGTTCAGCGCGCGTCTCAAAGAGCCATCAGACCACCACCACGGATGGGGCCCAACAGGGCTGATGCTGATTCGGAGTCGCGGAGAACCTAACGGGTTACCGGGGCTCCGGCTCGACGTGCAGGAGAAGGAACGGGGTGGTTTTTAGTCAGTAAGAGTCTGACACTCCCTCCCGCCTCACCCAGACGGGAACAGTAATTCGATGATTATTCCCCCCTTAAAAAAAAAGTAGTAGAGACAAATGAGTTGAGATGAATCTAAACTGGTATTTTAACTGACGGACTGACTGATATATTAATTATGAATATCATATTAGCTACAATTGAACACTTCATACTCTATTATGGCGCTTCATACTCTATATCGCGGTCGCGGCGACGTCGCGCAGCTCACTCGCCATCGCCGACGCGCGGTCGCCGCGACCGCGCACGCTGCTCATGAGGAAGAACCCCTCTGTGGTTCGAAACTAGTAGAGCTTTTCTCAGTATATTCACGTGAGTAACCCGCGTTTTTACTTAATTTAGTATGTCTCACGATAGTTATTATAAAAACTTCATACTCTCTTCATATAATCTTTCCCCCTTTTCCTCCCCTCCCATCCGCAATTCCCGAATGTTTAAATGGCAATACACGTGTAACTCGGTGATTCGGTGGTCACCGGCCTAAACACTTTCTTTGTTTGCCGCATAGGTGTGGTAAATGAGCAGACGGATCACCTGAAGGTAAACTATCGGTGCCATTTTCAACACCATAGGAGTTACAATTGCGTTGCTGGTCATTTAGGTATTGAGAATTAGGGGCTGGAGGATGCCTCAAAGAGCCATCAGACCACCGCAGAAGGGTGACGCCGATACGGAGCCGCGGAGGACTTAACGGGTTGCCGGGAGTCCGGCTCGAAGAGCAGAAGTAGGAACGGGGTCGTTTTTAATCTGACACTCTCTCTCGCCTCACCCAAAGCTGGAGAAGTTATCGGAGGATTTTCTACACTAAAAAAAGGGGTTGGGGAGCGGGGAGTGGGGGATGGCGGGCGTTATTTCACACCGATTTTTGTGAGGCCGTAGTACCACTCCGGTCGTACCGGCCCATTCTTGCCGAAACATGGCTCTCCTGTAGAACAATAAACATATTAACTGTGTATTATAAGCTAATAATAGATACATCGTGTACGTCAATAACCCGCCGCGTGGGAGCGCTAGCAACGCGCGTATACGCCCGATACGGCTCATGCGCACTGTGACCCCACCTACCATAATTGTTGCTACTTAGGGTTGCTAACTTATTTCAAAAGGAAAAAAGTAGGTACTGAATTTAAATTATGGAAATTATATTTAGATACGACATGGAAAGAAAATATAAAAATAGATTTTATACCCCTTTGTTACCCGAAATTAAAACTGTCTTCTGTCTCATGAGGCGTCACGAGACGTGTCTTATGACTTTATGAGTCATGTGTCTCTTACACGCAACCACAACATTACCGGCTTAATCCTGATTCCTGTCGCGGAGAACCTAACGGGTAACCGGGGCTCCGGCTCGACGTGCAGGAGAAGGAACGGTGTGGTTTTTAGTCAGTAAGAATGTGACATTCCCTCCCGCCTCACCCAGACGGGAGCAGTCATTCGATGATTTTCCCCCTTAACTCGTCGAGTACCGGTTTTGCAGACACAATTATAGAACAATAGGTTGCGGTCACCGGTGACCGCTTGGTGTTTGACAGTTTAAAAAAAACCCTGGTTCCTAATTTGTGGATCACATCACACAATCAGATCTGTGCGCGTATCTATCCTGTGACATGTTGCGCAGAAGCAGGTCGTTCAAACGCTGCTAAACTTAACATCTAATGAAAAATAAAAAGTATTTTAGTAAAAAAACACTACTTCTGGCGTTATTATAATTTCTCCAAAGACATTATCTGATGCTTTTCGTACAATTTATCAAATTTCAAATTATAAGCATTGATCCACGAATCCACAATACGTTGTTTTGTATAATAATATTTAACATTCTGTTTAACATTAAAATTATATTACAGCTTTTAACAATTTAATTGGGGACCCTAGCGCCCCTAGCTTTCCTCAGCAACCCTATCGAGGCTCTCTAGACTAAAAAAAACTGCAGCTATAGGCGTACAATCGATAACGACTCGCTTTGGCCAGTTTCCGCGCGCTGATTGGCCAGGATACACGAACGTTGACGGAAATAGCCGAAGACAGCCGAACGCTCGCTGCATTTCGCTTTTAGGTCCTTTGTATGCGCTGTAGGTGTGCTAGATAGGATCGATAAATGGGCGGGGCTTACGCACCCCACCATAGAACTCCAGTGCTTTCGCGTCTGTCTAGCATTCACCTCGTCGACCATTAAAATGATTTATGTGCTCTTAATTTCTCCATTTGCATTCAAATTTAAATATGTTAGCTAAATTAGTGATTTGCGTAATAGCTTTTCGGTTTTTTGTTTTTGATTTTGTGTTTGGAGTGTAACCAAAATGATTGTGACAATAAAATGCATAATTTTTGAGGATTCGGAGCTGGCTGCTATTGCTAGATATCGCAGTATGTATAAGAACCTTAGTTATAATAATTAATTTTAAATAATTGCGAAAATAATACTAAAGAAAATTGAATTGAAATAATTTTAAAATAATAGATTGAAGCGACTGCGAAAATTAATTATTATTTGAAAATTAATTAATGGTTTGAAAGTAGCCATGTGCGCTTAGCTGGATAATAGGTATGATTATTATACTAATTAATTTTTAGTAAAACACTATCTATAGATGTTTATTTAATTTTCTTAAACACAAGATTGTACTCTCCTTTAAAAAACCAGCAACGCTGTTGATACTCTTCTGGTGTCGCTCATGTCGATTACCGGCGCTGACCGCTTACAATCGGATTACACCATTAGATGTGATCCGATGACCGTCAGCACTCATACTACCAAAAAAAAAAATTAACCTCCGTGATTAGAAAATGACATTAAAATATTCCTCTAACACTGTAAAATATACCATAACCAGAGCCGCATTATCCGTATGGCAAACTAGGCAAGTGCCAAGAGCGCTAGTTTAAAGAGGGGCACAGCGAGACGCACGCGCTCAAAGTGTCATCAGACCACCACAGATGGGACCCAGTAGGGCTGATGTCCGATACGGAGCTGCAGAAGGCCTAACAGGCTGCCGGGGCTCCGGATCGAACACCAGGAGTAGGAACGGTGTGGTTTTTAGTCAGTAAGAATCTGACACTCCCTCTCGCCTAACCCAAGGCGGAAGAAGTTATTCGATGATTTTCCCCTCTCAAAAAAATAGCCTAAAACTTAGGGGAGCATATGAGGTGCTAGCTTTTTTTTTTAAGGGGGGAAAATCATCGAATGACTAAAAACCACCCCGTTTCTTCTCCTGCACGTCGAGCCGGAGCCCCGGTTACCCGATAGGTTCTCCGCGACTCCGAATCTGCATCGGCCCTATTGGGCCCCATCTGTGGTGGTCTGATGGCTCTTTGAGGCGCGCGCGTATTAATCTGCTACTGAGCATTATTTATTTATTTATTTAAGCTTCATGCACAAAATGTACTTAATGCCGCAGGCATTTTCTCCCATTCTGACCTTTGGGTGATGCAGAGAAGAGTTAATGGTGTGAGCAAGAAGCAACCAACCATTTAATACAGCAAATAAAATAGATACACTTACATATTACAGAGATAAACATAAATAAACATAATTCTAATATAATACCTAATATAATAACCTACACAATTGTATTGTACTGGCACAATACAATTTTTAAAGCATTACTAATTTAGATTCTAAAATAAAGTCCACATGAAACTGGATAAGTTTATATCGTTGAATTTTAATATGAGTATGCAGACATGTTTCCAATTAAATATAATTTACTACTTTTAACTGGAGTTTTACTTAATAGTTAATTATTGTTATTTTACTTAATAGTTAATTATTGTTAAAAGGGCAGTGGTTGTCCCTATATTCAAATCAGGTGACAAGAATCTAGTTAATAATTATAGGCCTATCTCACTACTGCCATCGATATCTAAAATTCTTGAGAAGATTATTAACATCAGATTGGTAAATTACCTAGAAATTAATAAATTCTTGTCACCATTGCAATTTGGTTTTAGAGCAAAGTTGTCAGCAGCTGATGCAGTACATACACTCACAGATTTCATATCAGAAGAACTCGGCAAAGGCAACCACGTTTTAGGAATTTTTATTGATCTTGCCAAAGCTTTTGATACTGTGTCTATTCCACTGCTTCTAAAGAAGATGGAATGTATGGGTATCAGAGGCACACAACTGAACCTCTTTGCTGATTATCTAGATCACCGTTACCAGTGTGTTAGAATAGATGACGTCACAAGCCCATTCCAGAAAAATACGGGTTTTGGAGTGCCTCAAGGGAGTATTCTTGGTCCTACCTTATTTTTGATCTATATCAACGATTTATGTAACATCGAGATGCATCATGGGAAACTAATATCATACGCTGACGACACGGCCCTAATTTTTTCATCCAATAACGACAATGAACTGTACTGTAATGCTCAATTGGCTTTTAATTCAGTTAATAGTTGGCTTTGCTCTAACATACTAACACTAAATGCGGAGAAGACAAAATTTATTCACTTTTCTATGCGCAAGAGTCCAATTACCTCTGTTTCACCCCAATTATACGCACATAAATGTAGAATTAGTCCAGTGGACACATGCAACTGCCCTTGTATATTAAAAACTACTTCCATCAGATATCTAGGCATCACAATTGATGAAACTCTTTGTTTCAAACAACACATCAGCGCTTTGGTTGCACGTGTCAGGAAATTGATGCACATTTTTAAAAAAATTAGACAAATCGGAGATGTTAAACTAATCACTCAAATCTACCTAGCGTTATGTCAGTCAATTATCCAGTACTGTGTTACTTCTTGGGGTGGCGCATCAAAAACTAATATACTCCCTCTAGAACGTGCTCAGAGAGCCATCCTTAAAGTTGCATTTTCCCATCCCTTTCTCTTTCCTACATCGATGCTATATAGATCCTGCAAAGTTTTAACTGTTCGCCAAATCTATGTAGTACAGCTAATACTCAAACAACATTCACTACTCAGCTTCAATGTTAATAATCCTACTAACAAAAGGCGGAATGATATAGTTTGCACTTCAACCTCAGTGTCAAAACACGCTTTTATAAAAAGATTCTTTATCTTTCTTGGCCCATTTTTATACAATAGAATAAATAGAGAATTAAGTATTTATAGCCTCAATCACTTTCATTGTAAAAAACTATTACACAATTATGTACACACCTTAACATACGATCAAACCGAGGAATTATTTGAAGTAAGCAAATAATTTTATTATAGTTGACTTAGTTATTTTTGCTTACGTTTGTTTATGAAACTGTACACGCGCACCTGTTATACTTAGAGACTAGCTTAATTTAATTTAGACATAACATTTTTAGTTTTATAAGCAATATTATTGTATTTTAAATATTTCAGTACATTTTTAACCTGAAACACAGGCTTGGACCTAGTTCAGGTTTCACATATTTTTAGACTTTGTTTAGATATTAAGATTTATTTTGTAATCTGGCTTTTTACACCAAATAAACATTTTATTATATTATTATTATTATTATATTATTGTTAATGCACTGTGTTCCCAAATACCTAAGACTTGTATATAATGTTCTTTCTAAATCACTTATTATTTCTTCCAGCTCAAGAACCATGGCCGGACAATGTAAAACTGTTCCAACCTTACGAAGTGGAGCAGATACTACTGCCAGACAACGCCAGCTGCCTGGCTGTACAGGCTTTCTTGAAGGTCGGTGGAGTTTTCTTAAATCCTTACTATTATAAATGGGAAAGTGAGTTTGTTTGTTTGTTTGTTCCGCTTTCACGCCGCAACTTCTAAACCGATTGCTTTGAATTTTTGCAGGCGTAAAGTTAGAAGTCCGGAATAAATAATAGGGTACTTTTCATCCCGGAAAATTTTGATATTCCCGAGGGAAAACAAAAGAATTGGTATAGATGGCGCTGTGTGTATTGGTATATGTCACATAGGCTACTTTTATCCTTTTGTGACGCGAGCGAAGCCGCGGTTAAAAGCTAGTGGACATATAAACCGATTACTGCATATTGTTGCCACAGTTCCGTTGTACTTTTCAACTGAACCCAGTGCAATCCTTTTAGGTCATTCTGCCATCCTACAATAAAAAAATCGAGGGAGGCAAAAGAATAAGCTATTCTCCTTTTCAATGTTTCAGCGTATGCATGATTGTGTCTACCGTAGATGGTGTACAGGTACACCAGAAGCTCCAGATCAACCAGAATCGGCAGGAATGACCTAAAAGGATTGCACTGGTCCAACTCCTGAGTTGCAACAGTCTTGGAAGGTCGATGCGGTCTCCAAAAAGTCGCTTTTATAAGCCAACTAGCTACTTCCGCGCAGTTTAACCCACTCTGTTCGGTTCCCATTGATCGTAGCGTGATGTTTTTTTAGCCTATAGCCTTCCTCGATAAATGGTAGTTCATACTATGTAACACAAAAAGAATTATCAAAATCGGACTAGTAGTTCCCAAGATTAGCTCGTTCAAACAAACAAATGCTTCACCTTTATATTATAACTAGCGGACCCGACAGACGTTGTCCTGTAATAATAGGTATAGATAAATAACCTAGAAACCGACTGCAGTGCCATTTGCCGGGCTGATTTGTGAATCTAAACCATTCCCAGATCCCTTGAGCACACACAAAAAATTTCATCAAAATCGGTCCAGTCGTTTGAGAGAAGTTCAGTGACATACACACTCACAGAAGAATTATTATATATATAAAGATAAAATAAATTTAAAGGATAAGACTATTTATTTTACGAGTCCCATGTAGTTGAAGACCCTTTTTAAACACTGTGGGAAATGGTAAACCCCCTTCTGAAACCCTTTGTTCAGCAGTGGACGTTATCTACCTAATGACATAACATAACATAACATCACGCCTTTTATCCCCGATGGGGTAGGCAGAGGTGTACATTATGTCACTGTACAATGTAACACTTACTTTTCACTATTTATTTTATGAGTCCCATGTTATAGGGGGTGAGCCTATTGCCACATACCGGGCACAACTCCACACTCCATGCTACTGAGAATTATTTAAAAAACCCAGTAATACTTTGCGACCTGGGAATCGGACCCCTAGACCCTTTGCTCGGCAGTCGCACTTGCGACCACTCGGCCAACGAAGCAGTCTATCCACCTAATGATAATATTTTTTCTCACAGATGTGCAATCTACCGTTTGAGGTGGAGATGCGATGGAACGCAGAGTTCATGTCACCTTCGGGGCGGGTCCCCTTCATCAAATGCGGGGCTTTTGTCGTGTCAGAATTGGAGCCCATAGTCCAGTTTGCTGCGAACAAGGGCGTGTCACTTTGTGGGAAACTGAGCACCGAGGAGAAGGCGGAAATGAGAGCCTACATGAGCTTAATCACCAATGTACTCGTTAACGCTGAGGTACGTAGATATGTTTTTTTAAATAAGGCTGTTCTTTTATGTGTAGTACAGGGTGTTTGTTATAAGGCAAATTAGTAATCTGGTTTTTAAATATTTGCTAAATATCGTACATATTTCAGTCGTGCTATTACTGAGAATTTCAAAATTAAGTTACCTAATATTAGGTCTCGATTCTAGTCTATTTTCATGAAGTTATGATATCTAATGCTTAGGCCGACTTTGCATGGATCACCTGATGGCAGCAAAAGTGCGTTGCCGGCCTTCTGGGAGTTAGAGATTAGCAGATTTGGGGATGGCCAATTATGGGGGGTGGGGAGGGAATTGGTTGTTAGTTCCTCCGTTCTCTGTATCTAATTGTTTCAAAGATAGCAGAAATAATTGAAATTTTATTATTGAATACTGTCATACATATTTCTTAGTATAATAGTTACTGTAACCGAAAATTGTACTGTTAACATGATTGAAAAAGAGTAACCTATGGAGTTTCTTGCTCGTTGTTCTCCATAGGAATCTACACTTTGGAACGAGCAAATAGCTTCACTAGAGGACTGACCTACAGACTGACATTTTTTCTTATTTTTTATATTTCAATATTTTGTTTTGACGTTCAATAGTGCCTTTTTGGTCTTATTGAAATAAATGATTTTGACTTTGACTTTATTCTGTTTTTGTTTTGTTAACCTCTCAGAAAACCTATTAAAAAGAACCTTGATTTTTTGTTATAAAGTTATATTATTGTAACAATCATATACCTCTACAGCTCTACATATCCTGGGTGGACAGCGAGACCTTTAACGCAGTGACTAAAGTGAGGAACTCCTCAGTGTACCCCTGGCCGCTAGGGTGGTTACAGACCAGAGCTAAGAGAAATGCTGTCATCAAACGGCTGAAGGCACTGCACTGGTATGATAAGACCATCGACCAGGTTCTCGCTGATGTGAGTATTTTAGTCACTTTTAGTAATAATTACATAATATAACATCACGTCTTTTATCCCCGAAGGGGTAGACAGTGGTGTACATTACGGAGCTTAATGCCACTGCACAATGTAACATCCACTTTTCACTATTTATGTTATGAGTCCCATGTTATAAGGGGTAAGCCTATTGCCATATACCGGGCACAATTCCGAACTCCGTGCTACTACTGGATCTTTTTTTTAAAACCCAGTAATACTTTGCGTGATCCGGGAATTCAACCCGAGACCCCGTGCCCGGCAATCGCACTTGCGATCACTCGACCAACGAGGCAGTATGAGTTTTGGTAATAATCTCTGAAATAACTGTACATCTTTTGTTTGCCTAAGGGTGATACTAATACTTGTCATCAAAACGAAATGGCAGAATTCCTGAAACCGTACTTACTGTACTGTTACTGACAATTTTGTCCTAAAATCGAAATATTTACAAAAAAAAATTATTGGATAAGCCGGTAAACGACCAGACGGATCACCTAATGGTGAGCAATCGACGTCGCCCATGGATACCTGAAACACCGGAGGCGTTACGAGTGCGTTAACGTCCTTTTGGGGATTAGGAATTTGAGGATTGCTTGGGTTTCGGGGATTGGGGAGACTGGGTGTTATTACTATTGTAATTGTGTATTTGATATTACGTTTTTTATTGGTCAAAAAGAGAATTGTACTCAAACTTTTATAGTTTTAGACTTCTTATTCTCATATCATATTTCTTAAAATCTATGTTTAACTCGTTGAGTACCGTCATTATAGACACAATAGGTTGCGGTCACCGGTGACCGCTTGGTGTTTGACAGTTTAAAACTAATACTTGATATTATTAATTTTTTCAGGTGGAACAATGCTGCAACTCGTTAAGTCAGCGGCTGGGTGACAAAGATTACTTCTTCGGGAATTCGTGAGTGTTTTTATTTATTTTCTTCTAAATATTTACGAATAACTGTTATAATATTGTTTTATTGCCATTCTGTATAAATCTACTCAATAGAGTATTTAAAATAGTTTAAACAAAAAAAATATTGTCTATGTGGGGCTGTAGACGACCTTGTGGGTAACCGAGGCTCCGGCTCAAAGGAGTAGGAACGGGGTGGTTTTTAGTCAGTAAGAATCTGACATTCCCTCTCGCCTCACCCAGGTCGGGAGGAATCATTAAAAAAAGCAGTGTTTAAGAATCAACCTGTAAACACCCACTACTTATATCAATATAGTTCAATCTGTGAAATTTTTAAAGTTGAAGGTGTAATAGAGAAATTTGACGGAAAACGATAGACTGACCAGCTGGCCTCCGTACACCCTAATTGCTAAAGGAGGCCATACGCGCTTGATTTTGCATGATGGTTTTAGCCGTGCATGCATAGCCGACAGGAAAGCCATAGCGTGTATGTGACTAAACTGTACAGTTATCGGTCCATGTTCAGTCATAGGTCAAAAGTCCTCTGCCACCGACCGTGAGTCATATTCACACGGCAATGCGTAAGTAATTTCATATTAATGTGCATAAAAACGCGTGCGTACCCATAAACACACGCACGTGTACGCACATGGATAAAAATATGCGTGTGCATGTGTAGCGCTGCAGCGCAACCGATAGTAGTCTTACGGTGGCAGTGGACTTTTGACCTTTGACCGTACTAACAAAACCTAACGTGTATGTGTGGTATGAAACTCGGTTATGCTTGTCGGTTCATGCACCATCATGCATAAACTTACGAGTATGGTCTCCTTAACTCCTATTCCTAATTCCCTTCCCAGCCCAACTCCTTTAGACGCCCTAATATTCGGACATATGAGAGCGATCCTAATGTCGTCAGGAGCTAGGGCAGGTCCTCTAATCAAGCGCATCACCAGCTCCTTACTAAGGCACTTGTTGAGATGTATCAATGTAACTCATATGACTTTGACGGTAAGGTTCAAATTGTATTGTTTTTATAGGAGGTAGTTAGGACGTTTTCTTTTTGAAGATTGATTTAACATGATAATTATTTTTAGGCATTTTAAATATAATGATTATTTAATAGGTAAAGTAAAAGTCGCGGGTTCGAATCCCGCACGGAACAACTCTTTGTGTGATCCACAGATTGTTGTTCCGGGTCTAGGTGTGATGTGTATGTGAACTGTATGTTTGTAAACGCACCCACGACACAGGAGAAAATCATAGTAGGGGCAAAGTTAAAAAAATATATATTTTAGTAAAACAAAAACAAAACTGTGTATATAGCACAGTTACGGCTTTTGTATAAAAAAAACATGTTTCTAAGTAGTGTCTTATTAAATCCCATACATTACTTATCTTGCTTCCTTCCTCCATTACTTGCTTCCTTATCCCCCTGCCCCCTTTTACCAGACCCAAGAAGAGTACCTAGTGACCCAAGCCTTCCAAATAACTCGACGACGACTCTCCCCTGAACGCACCGCGTCTGAACGAAGCACGAGAATGAAACGCTCCCGTATGAGCATTCGGAATGCAAGCAAAGATACCATTCATTCCAATAGCAATAGGGACGTTTTTGGTAAGACATCTTTGTTTGTGTAAGGTCCATTTTAGATTGGTTTAGTTGGTAGTCAAATTTTTTGGGAGTGATATAGTTGAGGAGCAATGTTAATTATCTGATTCTCAATGGTGAATCTTTGAGATTATTTGACAAACAATGTCCCTTCTTATAATGGCTCTAATCTATTAAAAGGTGCTATCGGGGTCCTCTGTCCATGAATTTTGGAGTATGTAACCAATGAGGTTTTTAAATAAGTATTTTAGTAAAATAGGAATGATGTCACAAAAGCCATTAAGTTTATAGGACATGTACAATGACCCCCAGTCAACTTCAATTTGTCAATATTGTTTGTTGGATTTCCGACTTTATATTCATATCATAAAGTTGAAAATCTAATAAACACAGGAGTAGCTTAGCTTGCTGGTCCCTGTACAAGGAAATCTTTCAATGCAGGCTTCAAACCATTTGCATCTAAGCAAATAATAATAATGACATCTAAAGAAGGAGATGAGGCATCTAAAAACGAGTCCTCAACGAAAATCGATAACGCCCCTGTCAATGTCGAAGTAAGCAAATCGATTAACGAAATAATCGACGACGTACTCGATAAAGTTGACGAGGTTGTAATCGATGAATTTCCAGAGAAAATCGATTCGGATTACGAGAAAAATGACGCTTTCGAAATCATCTCTTACCCTAAAATGATGGTTGAGTCGAACATCGATTCGGTCGATGTGAAAGTTAACGATTATTTGGATACGATTGAAGAGAACGATTTGACTGATACGACTAATTCGTTGGAAATTACTCTCGATGATGGAATGCTTATAGTTAATGATGATGATTATGCTCACATTGATAACCAAGTGGATAAAAGGGCTTTGAATGATGATTCCGTATCGCGGAAGATTGTACTCAGTGATGGTATAAACAGGTAATTTAATAAAACTTTTGTTATATTTGTAATAAGAGCGCCTTCACAAGGTTACTTGAATCAGTATTCATTTACTTTTGCCCTGACAACGCGACGTTTGCGTGGTATCTGCGCGGTGCATACGTTTATCGGACGGTTTATAAAACAGAATGGGTAACAATGCTCTCTGATAAACCTGAACCTTTTCAACTGCTATCTTCAACCGGCAAAGCATTTATTTCAATTAATACCTAATTAGGCACGTTTGGAACGTCAAATTTGCGGTTATATATAGTTCTGTCACTACAAATTCTTTTTAAAATGACAGAGATGCCACGATATTTAAGTGGAACTGAAATGAGTAGCCTTTCAGTACCCGGGCGTTAACCGGACAAAAATACAGAATCACGTCCCCAAATAAATAGTCTCAATATTATTCAATTTTCCCTATTTTTATATATTTTTTTCTTTTAAATTTTGTTTTCCTAGTGGCAGTGATGGGATGCCCAAAGATGTTGGTGATTTTACCTGTAGTAGTGATAAAGAGTCTACTGGTGATTCCTCGGATAAATCCCCATTTGCACGTACTCCTTCTTCTACAGGCTAGTTTGTTTTTATTTATTTTTTATCACTGGCAAGATTATAGAGTTGTACTTGTATCCCAGAAGGGATATGATACGTATTTCAAAATCACCCTGGGAAATAAAAGACAAGATTTTTTACATTACGCTGTGTAACTCTGCCAATAAATGGTATAATGTATGAAGTTTAGTCTTAATTTTCATATTTTTTTTAATTAGTAGTATCCATCCTTAGTGTAATGAACACGGTTTAACATGTTGTTTAAGTAGTTTTTCGCCAGAAAATATCATAAATCCACTAGTAAGTAGGGCAAGTAGTTGTAAATTGAATTAGAGCACCCCATAAAAAGCCGATTCTGCTTATGCTGCGTACCCATTTGTAAAAGCATCCCGAGTTTTCGTATCACTACGCCGTTTCGGATTAACATTAACTTACGTACTTACAGATTCTAAAATGACGCTCAAAATACCAACCAATAGAGAAATTAGTGTTGAGAGTCTATTGAAGTATCTACGCCAGCGAAATGCGGTTTATAACTACAATACAGCCGCCGATATTGATTATGATTAGACGCCACGACAACACTACGCCGTTTCGGGTTGAACGAAACTACGAACTTGCGTATTATTTAATAGTGATGAAGAAACAACTTATATTTTAATATAATATTTTAAAGGATAAATTATTAGATATGTTTATTATTTTAGTTTTAATAGTAATTTTAAATATGTAAAAATATTTGGATGTTTTGGGTATTTTGGATTGAAATCTTTGACTTTCTCGTTAAAAAATGGCCTAAGGTGTCATTTTTTCCTATTGAAATGGAACTGTTATTAATATATTGAAATGAAACTGTTATATAATGTTAATAATATAGACGACCACTTATTTGTGGTCATTTTCGATAAATAATCACGAGACCCTGGTTTCGATATCCAAAAAATGGGGCAACATTACGTACCTATGTTCAATTCCGAAATTTTAAGTTAATTTTGCAATTATACGTTAGGAATACGAGTTTGTAATATAAAATGCGTTTCAGTTAGCTAATAGCTTTGGTGTTTTATTAAATTATTTGTATATTTATGTTTTTAAATAAGCAGTTTTATTACCATTTATTTGGGGTTCGGCCAATAACTCCTTATATGTATTTATGCAGAATGGCAAAATCAAAATGTGAGTTGATCTTATTATTTTTCTGTTATTGTATGTATATCGTTTTAGTAAAGTAATTTCTTGAGTATCTACAAAGTCTACTGGTCTCATGAGACCATTCTCATGAGACCAATAGACCTTTCATTGGTAAGACCGGTTTTAACTCGTAGAGGTCTATTACGTAACTTCAGTAATAAGAAGTCGAGTCTAGTGTTTGTAGCTACATAGAAATAGAAATTAATTTAAATAACTTGGTTAAGATTATTAGTTAGCTGTAAATATGTATTCCAGGGACCTTATTAAAATACTAATTACCATTTTTACCAACTACCCCTTAACCATCTCTTAAATATAGGTTACTTAACGTGGCATAGTACACAAAGCACCGCTAATTAGTTCGTAACGCTCACATCGACACTACTGTCATTTACACAATGTACATGTGTGGGTAATTTCATATTACTGTGTATAAAAATATTCGTCCACCACGTTCACATTGGTATTTTCATTCTTGTGTCGGTATACGTATTTTTATAATTTAATGCATGGGTAAGGTTAAAACTATTTACAATCATTGATATGACCCGACATTTTCACTGTAATTATCGTAGTGCTCGTGGTCGATTGGTTAATGAGTACGCTTTTATCGTCTTTCAAGGATCAATGATGATGTGGGTTCTATTCCAGCTAAAAGTTTTTTTTTATTTTACCTTGTTGTTTTTCTTATTTATTTTTTTTTTGTTTTTTGTCATATAATATAAATATCAGGCTATAAAAGAAGCAAATCAGTCGGTAAATAAAACAATACTATTTTTTATTAAAATTAATTTATTAATTATACAAATATGTGGTTTTATATTCAATATTTATATCTAATAATTAATTATATACCACATGTTAACTTTAAAGTTCTTCCAATCATTCTAAATTATTCTAAATAATAAATAACTAGAACTAAAATATAAATAAAGGATATTATAGGTATAAATAAATCTAAAGTATTTACTATTAAAATTAACATAAGATTTAGAAAAATAGGATAGGAAAAAAAGAAAAGATTTAATTGTTTCTAATTTCACATTTCAAATATTTGATTAATTAATACTAAAACAACATGTGAATGCTGGAATCGATCCGGTGGCACTTTACTTGACCACTGGAGGCGATAACCATTGCGCCAAGCGCGCCGTAGATGAGAACATCGAAATATTGTATATCATTCAGTAACATAAAAATACAATGAGAATGCACTATATTTATATAAGTATTGTATTGCTCGATCGTTCATTATTTTTGATTTCGATTTATTCAAAGTTTGTTATGAGTATTTTTATCTTTACCCTCGTTTTTATTTAAACTTATTTACTAAAATATTACGTATACCGACACAAAAATGATATGTAATACCAAGATGTGTGTGATAGAACGAATGTTTCTATACATATCTATTAATATGAAATTACCCACACATGTTCACTGTGTAAATGATAGTAATGTCGATGTGTAGCGCCTCGAACTAATTAGCGGTGCTTTGTGTACCTGAACTAACCCTTTTGTACTGTTAGGAGTCTCGTATAGGTTGATAAAATCCAAAATATCGTTAAATATCTCTTAGATTAGGGGTTCTGTTACGGAGCGGGTGTGAAGATGGTTTAAAAAAAAAACTTTTAATACGCTAAAAGAGATATATTGAATAACTGACATGTATTACAAGTTACTATGCCCGACGGGAATCCAATCCAATCTACCCGAGAAACAATTACCTTTATAATAGCTTACGAAAACTGCAACGGTTTCCTATTCCATTGACGTCAATGCGATTGGAAACTTAGCAGTTTTAATTTATATTTTATGTAATAGTTATTCCGATATAACAGTTTCTTAAAATTTAGAATCTTGGTGACAACGAGCATAAACTTTTCTTTTACTACGTTTCTTGTTGACACCCTATATACCCAATAACATTTTAACAAAAATCACCTTTTCTATCCGCAGACCAACAGAACTGGATGCCCTGGTCTTCGGACACGTCTTCACAATCATCACCACGAGGTTACCATGCCGTAAGTTAGCAGACACTGTCCGAAAACATGAGTCCCTGGTTGCTCTCGCCAAACGAGTAGACGAGCATTACTTCAAAAGACCATAGCGTCAAATTTTCAAGGACATCTCGACTTCGTTCACCAGTCCTTGAAATTCCAATCCCTTTTCTAGTGGTTTTAAGGTAGGTGCTTCTTTTTAGTTTAGTTTTTGGTCTATTCTGAAGTCCATTTGCGTTAGTCATTGTCATAATATTTTGATCTGCCCAACTTGGTCGAAATGTAAGTAATGTCAGGCAGTGTTAAAAAATAAATCACAATTTTACTGATAGAAACGCCCAACGCCCCATCATCAAATATGGACACATATATTTGTGGTCGTTCCTTATCTAGTCAAAATATATGACTTTAAATGTTAGATGATGAAAGACAATGTAGTTTAAACATCTATGATATTGATATAAGCGTGGAATTTAAAAAGGCGTGGAACCGATTTGCACCTTTCTGCCCTTCTGTGGCCCTTTCATACTCAAACTCAAAAGCATTTACTTCAATTATAAAAAAGTATGTCAGTCTGTCCGCCAGTGAAGCTAGGCTACCTTATTTATAACATCAATTCTATCAGCTTTGATAAGGTCTCATTACTGTTTACTATATCAAAATCTTTGCAGCAGTTTTCGAACATGTCATCCTAACGCAAATGGACTAAAATCTTAAACATCGCAATATTAAGCTCTTAGAGATTTTGTTTTTAATTTTTATTAGTCATTTATAAAAGCTTTAGTGGATAAGTCTTCATAATTACTTTGTAGGTTTGGGTTGAAATAAAACGTTGGTACAATAACAACCGATAAAAATTGCACATCGAATTTTGAAACGACATAATTTTTGTGATGCGAGGAGAGTGTTAGATTAGATTTAGCGGTTCATAAACGTGAACAGTATACGCGGCGATTTGGCTGATTGTTTATTTTCGAAGGTGCAATATTTATTGCCAGGTATTGTAAGTTTATTTATCAAAGAAGAGGTGTTTATTGTAATACTTTTGAGTTGCTTGAATGCGCAAGCAGTGCCTTTAGCCAAACGCCACTTTAGCGCTTGTCTACAGAGAGTAGAAATCAAAATGTATGGGGATGACACTGACAAGTGTCAAAATTTACGTCAATTCCATGTAATTTGGTTTTCTATTCTACATGTAGACAAGCGCTAAAGTGGCGTTTAGAATTAAAGAACATCTTAGTTGGCTACTTACGGCACTTGTACTGTTATGGGTCACTTATTGCTTGGTGAAAATCAAAATGTCATTATACGCTTGAATGCCCGTATATGAGACATAATATAAAAACATTGTGTCTCGCATGGATCTATCGACATATGTATACATCCATATACTAATGGACATGCCGTACGTGTATAATCTGCAGTAATATTTTGGTTTGAAAAGAGTGAGAGAGATGGCATATGCTTTCGGTCTAGCGCTATCTCTTTCTCGCTCATAACGTCTTAACTACGGTACTGTTTTGTGAGAGATAAAGATAGACCGAAACTTCTTTTCCTCTCTTTCTTTCGGAGTGCCACAATTCTCATCTCTAAGGTATGCCCATTAGTATATGTCGATGCGTGGATCCCCGGTTAGACACACGACAGGTTAAATGTCACCTATATGAACTTAGGGGTTCCTTAAAAGTTACGAGAGGTTGGTGAAAACCGGCCAGTCATTCTAAATGAACCTAGTTTTATTTCATGAACCCAAATCTAATAAGTTATATATGTCTTAGATAGTTTATATAAAGTTTGATAGTCAAAAATATTAGGTTTTGCAACTAACAAGTTTAAACGGTGTTAAATGATGTCGCAAATTTATTTGTTTTTATTTTTAAAGTACTACAAATGTTTTTTCTTTTGTTTCTGTGCTTTTTTGCTATACGTACCTTGTACACTTATTGGAATATTACGTCAATGAAACCAGTTTTAACCGGATTAATCGTGTTTATTATTTTGAGTTCTGAAGTTCCTTGGTACTCGAGTTAGTATCAAGGAAATTAGTCTGAAGGAAAGTATTCACTAGTTAATAAGTGTATATAGTATACCCCTGCCTATACCCCTAGGGAAAAGGAGGGGTAATATTGGAACAAATCCATACTTTGGCCACAAATGAGCACTAATTGTAGATTTTCTAGTGTTTATAAGTCTTAGTTATAGTTTAGGTTATATAGGTTTAGGTAAAATTGGTCGTTGTTATGCAGAAATGTCGTATTCCATATTGGAGTCAGATTTTTTTTCATACTACTGAAGTGTTAAATTAGTATTAACAAGGGTATGGTAAGTAAAACACGAGTGAGGTTTTAGAATATAATGTTTTATTAGAACGTTTACTCAGCCTATATAGATACAATTGGGGTAAACTTTAATTTTTCTTATAATAAAACGGACCAATCGCAAGCGAGTAGTAGTTCACGGGCCCGCCGCGCCCGAGCTGTGTCGCCGCTGTCGTGGAAGCGGCAATCGTAGAGATATAAAACTCCTGGGCCGGCGCTCTCTTAGAGATCGATGAGCGCGCACCGCGCGTGGATGGTTTATGCTACTCGTAGGTGTCTGGTACAAAGTTTACTTTTACAGGAATACAGGCACACAGGAATACAGACTTTTACAGGCATAGAATGTCAATAAATTGTTTTATACTCTGTAAGAACTTTTTTTTACGGGGGAAAATCATCGAATGACTGTTCCCGCCTGGGTGAGGCGGGAGGGAATGTCAGACTCTTACTGACTAAAAACCACCCCGTTACTTCTCCTGCACGTCGAGCCGGAGTCCCGGGAACCCGTTAGGTTCTCCGCGACCTGTAAGAACTTTGGGGTTTCAAAATAGAAGGATTTTTGAGGTGGAAACATCTTTCATTGTCTTCTCCGCCTTGAGTGAGGCGAGAGGGAGTGTAAAACTCTTACTGACTAAAAACCACCCCGTTCACATCACCTGCTTTGAGCTGGACCCAGAATATTGCTTTTTACCCGTTGAAATCCACCCCCTAAATTTGGTCATACAAAAGTAGTCTCTAAACATTACAAATAAGGTCTATAATGTAATGTAATATTAGTGGAAAGCGGTCACCGGTGACCGCTTGGTTTTTTATGGGTTAATAACCGTATAAAATTCAAAATCTTTGAATTCCATAGAATACATCAAGTTATGCTACGAATAAATAATTAGGTATATTAAGCAATATAAATTGCATTATGTTAATTCGAAATTAACTCTTTACTCTAATGATTTAGACCGTTTTTAAAAAAAATAACTCATGTTGATTTTGTAATTACAATATTTTTGCATAATAACGGCCAATCAATATGTAATAGACATATAATTATATTTAGTTGTTAAGGGAAACGTAAACGTTTTTATACAGTGCGTTATGATTCGGATTTCCGATATTTTACATGCAGACAAGTTTTTTTTTAGGTTATATTTCTTAGACTATGAACACGGCAAAGCGGAGTTGCACCGCAATCAATAGAAGTAATTTTTAAAGTCATCGTCAAAGGATTTATTTCAATTAAACCATAATTTGGTACTATTGAAACGTCAACAAATGCACAATAAATAATTGTCAGTCTGTCCGTCACGAAACGAGCAAGAAACTCCATTCGTTACTCTTTTATAAAACAATATCATTGTTACAATTTAATTCAAATTGTTTTTTTTTCAAATGCATTATGGTCTCTCTCGACATGAAGCCCGTGTACGAGTACTCTTATTTGAACTATAATAAAATTATTCGATTATTCTTTTAACCGTAATAAAAGTATCAAAAATCGCCGGTTATATCTTGGACATGTTAACACTTTTGATATAATGATTATTTTCAACCGACTTCAAAAAAAGGAGGAGGTTCTCAATTCGACCCGTATGTTTTTTTTTTTCTATATTTGTTACGCGATTACTCCGCCAATTATGAACCGATTTGAAAAATTCTTTTTTCGGCGTATAGGTAATACCTCAAGGTTGGTCCCATTTAAATTTACTAATAAAAATAACAACCCCCAAGGGTGGAAAATAGGGGATGAATTTATTTATACGCAATAACTCCGCCGATTTTAAACCAATTTGAACGATTATTTTTTTATTGAATAGGTATTATCAAAAGGGTGGTTTCATGCGAATTTGAAGAAAATATTTCACCCCCAAGGGTGGAAAATTGGGGGATGAACTTTTTTATACGCAATATCTCCGCCGATTATGAACCAATTTGAACTATTATTTTTTTGTTGAATAGGTATTATCAAAAGGATGGTTTCATGCGAATTTGAAGAAAATATTTCAACCCCCAAGGGTGGAAAATTGGGGATGAAATTTTTTATACGCAATATCTCCGCCAATTATGAACCAATTTGAACGATTATTTTTTTGTTGAATAGGTATTATCAAAAGGGTGGTTTCATGCGAATTTGAAGAAAATATTTCAACCGTCAAGGGTGGAATTTGAACGATTATTTTTTATATTTCACCCCCAAGAATAGAACGTTAGTTGTTACGAGATATCTAATGGCACTGGGAGTACTGAGCGGCGTGCGTAGAGTTTGATAAATCTTACTAATTCCACTCTATTCACTAAGATTACGCAATCTCATCATTTCAGTGAGAGCTTTGTCGTCGTGTGGTCGATTTAATAATAGTATTAGCATCCAAATCGGACAAAGCAATGCCATCTAATGTTTTGACGCGACTAAGAGCCACATAAACTTGCCCTTTTGCGAAATTTTTCTTCCCCAAATCAATTACAGCCGTATTAAGGGGCCTTGCAATTTGTGCACTGTTACTGCCCAGCTTAAAATTAGCGGTAACATTCTTCGCTCGACGTCTCCATATCCCCTTTGCGCTTGGAAAGTGGTACAAACAGGTGAAATTGATATGTACCCATCTTTATCCTTCATTCTTAACCCAATAGTCGCGTCATCAAATTGTATAAGTACTGCTTCAGGCAACTCGCCTTCCTCCAGTTGATCTCGCCGCAGAGCAGGCCATTTTATTGCGATCGTGTATCAAACCAAGCCGATGAGTCCGGTGTTCGGGGCTTTCATTGATTCTGGTTAACTTTTCGTATGCTCTCATTTTCGAAAGTCTAGAAGTCCGCTGCTCATCACTCTCCTTTAATATATTTTTAGCATTTCTTTCTCTACTTTCTTTTAAACGCACTTCCCTTTCTTCTTTTGTTTCCTCCAAACGGCGCTGTCTCATTAAGGCTGCGCGTTTAGTAGGCCTACCCATATTAAATGCACTAAGGGTATCTACAAAAAAGTAACACTAAAAATTTTAAAATAAAATAATTAACTTTTTAAAAAAAATAAAACCGACTTCAAATGCGAGAACACAAAAAAAAACTAAAAATTAAAAAATAATTCCTAATACCTATTACCTAATACTATAATTTTTCTAAACTATATCAAAGTAATTAAAGTTAAACCATCTAAATATCTTAAAATAGTTATACTTATATACCTACCTATTGTTTTTTGGAGTCGGTGCCAGTAATAAATGAATATTAAACCTAATGAAATAAGAAAAAGTACTCAATGAAACAAAAATATTAAGAAATAAGTTGTATGTAGCCTGGTACAACTAAACCTATACCAACAAAGAATAACAAATACCTACAAATCCTACAATAGAATACAACAAACAAAAAAGAAAGCAATAATTTGAAATATTGCGCATCCGAAAATTCAGTATTTTTGACACGAGCGTCAACGTAGTCTGCCCTCAAGCGTCTGCCCGCCTTCGGGTCGCTTACTCGAGCAAGACCGCACGCGCCCGCGTCCCCCGCCGCACCGCGTCGCACGTCTCTAGTTCGCGGGTAAACTTAATACGCTGGCACTGGCACCGACTCCAAAAAACAATAGGTAGGTATATAAGTATAACTATTTTAAGATATTTAGATGGTTTAACTTTAATTACTTTGATATAGTTTAGAAAAATTATAGTATTAGGTAATAGGTATTAGGAATTATTTTTTAATTTTTAGTTTTTTTTTTGTTTGTAATGTATCAGAAATCCGAAATCTAGCGCACTGTATATGTTACCATATAAGTAAGATTAGTAGGAATATTTTAGAATAATTAATAATAATAAAAACGACAGTCTAATTGT